GGCTGGCTACCCTTGCTTTACAGGGGAAACTCGGATTTACTGCATTTAAAGGATAGAGTCGATGTAAATTATTTCGAAATACCAAGTGTAAAATCTCAGATTTGTAACACAGAAAAGGTTTAGCAGTAAGATTAGGATGCATGCAATTTTTGAGTTCTTAAACTAAATCTTCAAATTAGTCTGGATACACTGTGCATCTTTTCACACAAAGCTTCCAGTTTTGTTCAAATTTTGTATTCAAAAAACAATAACTAAATGTTTTTGATAGTCTGTGCAGCGTTGAGATTGTGTATGTCAAATGGAATGTTATGTTATGTTATACTTGTTTACAAACTTTAAAAAAGGGTATATTTTATCCGTTAGTTTGTTTATTCTTGATCAGTAACATCAGCTGAGTTTGATCTAGACATATCTTTCTGCAGGCCCTCACGCCGAGATCTGAAAAAATAATTATTTATAACGAGTTCATATATTTTATCAGCTTAAACATAAGTGTTTTTTTTTCTTCCAAATTTTGTAATAGAAAAAATTGAAAAAATTAATACCGCAAGCCACCCTCAGTTTGCAAGTGATTTACCAAATGTGACAGGGAGGGTAGACAACTCAGTCCAGAAAAGTAATTTGTAAGCTTTGTTTTTTTGTGGGGTGTATTGAAAATATTGTAAATTTTTTCAAACACTTGGCTATCTTGGGTTTCATTATCTTCGTTGGCAGGTTTTACTCTGCTGAGAGAAGAGCTTCGTGGGCGTGATAGGGTGTTATTGATTTGGTTTGCAGGCAAAGCAAGGGAGTGGGTGAAGAGTGGAAAAGCGTTGTTGTGAATTTATTTGCTAATGAAATACCATTTATGGCCTCGTCTGTCTGCCGTCTCATTTTCCCTCTCCGCTGTTGCTGTTTTCTTTGAGATTGTATTTGTATGAGCGCAGGTGAGCAGGTCTTTTACATTGCGCCAGGAAAAAGATAGCAGGGAGACAGGTCGGAAGGACAGCAGGAAAATGTATTTATTATTTTTCTTTGCAAGACGAAATGATTTTATTGCATTTTTGCACAATTTTATTAAAGAATTTAGCAGTGGAAGGAATTTGAGTACAAAAGCATTATTTCAAGCCAAGGTTGACATTTCATGCTGCTTTAAAAATATTTGTATATTCCTTGAATTAAATGGCTATGAGATTTCCAGTTTACTTGTGTCTCTAGATATTTTCACATAATATCCGATTCTGGTATTTTTCAGGATAAACCCGATTATTTTATTTATCGCTCTTGACTTACAAGCTACAAAATAATGCCAAATTAAATAAAAACATCGTAAGGACGAGTCAAAACAAGCAATATAAAGCCCACCATTCCCTTTAAACGGATGCCCTCATAAAACATGCAATTACAAAGTACATGAGGGAAAACAATGAACATTGGGTGGTATAAGTGGGGTGTGAGATACTTGTTTGAGGGGGTTGGGAAGTGGATAAAGCATGCAACAAAATCGACAGCAAACCCTACAATATTGCGGAAATTGTTGGTTTGTAATTTGAATTTGCGCCATTTGCATTCAATGTGGCGTTCGCAAATGAGACACAATGAGTGTGTGTCCTGTGACCCAGGCACACAAAAACCGTGCACTGAAAACCCAGTTTTATTCAAATTTCTATCGGGCCAACAAGTTTTTTTCCGATAGGAAACTGCTGAAATTATTTATACCTTTGTGATTTAAAAGTCTTCCTGACAATAAACAGATAAAAGACTCTTCAATAACATCATTCTATTATATTATTATTCAATAAGCATTTTGAGGCTTTAAACAGACTTGCATTAAAAATTCGTATTAAGACTTACTTAATCTTATGAGTGTGGCTGGGTTTTCTCGTAGGATTTTTAATAGTACTAAATGTGTATCATCAATGATTTCGATACATTATTTGAATTACAAATCTTTTTTAATACGCTTAAATATAATAAATAATTTTAGTTTAAATATCACGCTTATAGTTGCTAAATAAGTAGCTTCGTACACTAATTTATTTGTTTACATTTATATACAGTTTTTAATTGTTTATGTATTTTTTTTTATTTTCAGAAATCGGCGATTAAAAAAATAACGATCAGGTATGTCAAAATATTTATTAATCGATCCGGAAATCTTCTATCAACTTTCCAACCAAAGATTTTTGAAACATGCTAAATTAATTGTTTAAAATATCCTTTTGATAGTGAAGGTAAAACGTTCACTCATTGCTTTAATTTCCCATAATTTCTTTGAGTGCTCATTTGTGTGTGAGTTGGTGTGCGTTTATTAGCTTTTGTAACGGTCCCCGGACGCCTTTGGGTTCTGACACGCAACCAGCAGCGATGCGCGGCGTCTCCAAACAGAAAGCGGATGTCGTCGGCAATATTTTCTTGGCAAGTTTTCCACCCACTCCTCCTGAGCGAGCCATGCCTGCCTAGTAGTCCCCCCTTTTCAATCCTCCGCTAGTTGAAACTTGTAGCAAAGTTGTGTTGTATCTTCAAGTCAATGAGCTTTTTTTATATGCGTATGTATGGGGCTGGTGGGGGGTGCTGATGAAGTTTGTTTACCGTGTTTGTGAGAAAATAAAGTTGCTCGGCTTTTGCTTTCCCGATTCCCGGCCAAAAGTGTATTAAGTCTGTGGTATATGAGTGGGCCAGAAGGAGATGTCCTCTGCTTGATAGGCATATAGTATAGTATGTACTTGTATAGCTGCGTCCCCACTGCGCTCCGTCTTTCAGCTTTAGTCACTTTAAGAGGATTTTACTATAAGTAGCTAAAAGTTATGTTAACGTTTCTGTATGTGTGTGTGTGTGTGTGTAAGTTTTGGGTGATGATCTAAAAGTTACGGGCATTTCGGTTTGCGACTTGCACACAAAAAGTTTGTCACGCGTTAAACAAGGAGGGGCACATCAGCTTTATAATTAATAGTTGCACTTGCTCCGCGATTTTTTAAACTTGTGTTGACCCCATCACAACACAAGTCGAGTTCGCCCGATATTAATGTGTATTCTCACTGTGAGTTAAACTTTACTTGAGCAGACACTTTATGAATTATAACTATTCGGGTCTAATATTCTAGAGAAATTAAATTTTCTTAAGTAACTTTAAGAGCGAATTTATTTTTATGCGGAAGCAATACACGGTGTCCTTTGACTCTGTTGTGTAGTATTCGCTAATAATGAGGGCAAAATTTTAAATAATTCCTAGAATTGTTTAGCTTTTGAACGAAGATACGCCCTTACTTTATTAGGACCGCGATTCCCTTATAAACTTACACAATTTCATGTTTTATGGCCTATCCCAACGATGACCGCACTGTAGGGCTTCGCTTTCATATAAATTTGGAACTTTCCAAACGACAATAAATTTAAGTGAACATAAATATTGAAGATGGAAAGCTCTGTGTGGGCATAAACTTTTTTCGTTTAAGGAACTAACCTTTAAAAAGCAGGCGCAAGGAGATGAAAATTTAACCCATGCCAATGGCGTGCAGTTAATGAGCGTTGCCTTCATTGTACACCCACCACCCATCGACACTTTTCCCTTCCGCTCTGCGGTTTTTCTGAGGCGTAGAACGCGTGCATTTAATATGTTCAGTTAGTGAAATGAGCCAAATTAATAGTGCACGCGTTGTAAGGCCGAAGGAAAATAGATTGAGGGGGCAAGGATATACATATGTACTTGTGTGGTACTTAAAGTTACCAAAAACATCAAAACAGATCCCCGCTTAAAGCTGTACGAAGAAAAACTACTTACTTCAATATACCACTGTTTGTGTCCGATATATGTAGTTCAACTACGCTCTTGTGTTCCTGACAGGAATGATGATTGACTGAACATGTTCTTTGATATGTTTTTTTTTTGTTTCGTTTCAATGCTATGTTTGTATTCAGAACCACAAAATTCCATAGAGTATGGAAATGTTTGCCTAAGAGTGACGGTACGGTATACACTCAAAATTTACACATGAAAATGTAGTGTTAATTGTGCAGTGCGGTTTCAACCCCTGTGTCATAAACCTTTATACATTTAGCATTCTGTGGTTTTACTGCTTAAAACGTAGAAATTTGGGGAAACGAAAAATACCTCGCAATTTGCTTTGCTGCCGAAAATGTAGGATGTTGGAGAAACAGATAGCTTCACATAACAACCCTTTTGCTATACTAGATTATAATCGAATAAGTTCAATAAATTACATAAAAGAAAAAACAACGAAAATCCACCTAGTCACTAACCTTAAGCCTTACTTTTGGGTGGTAATCAGCTTGTGCTTTCTTTACACAGAGATGATTAACAGTCTTTGATAAGATATTTGATGACACCGCTGCCCATTAAAGGAATTGTCCACATGAGAAATGGAATTATGTTCATGATTTATGAATTACAGTGGTTTCCTTTAGTGCGGTTTCTCTTGTTCAATTCGTGTTTGTTTTTCTGTGCGTCGAATTTACCAACTGAAAGGAGTTTTAGTCAGTGACGCACTATGTCTTACTCTGTGTTTATCTGTTTGACTTCTAGAAGTTATGGTTTGCTTAGAAAAGTTTGTTAATTTAGCTTCTATGCGTTTGGTCTCTGCCAACCAAGACTGGAATAATTGGGAAACCAAGGAAAATTGTACAAATATTCTGCATTTTTCGTCTCACAAATCGATTTGCTGTAGTTAATCTGGTTTCTAACTAATTTTGTTTTATTATTGTCATATATATGTATTTACTTACAATAGTAAGTTAAATAACTATGACAAAATAAATGTTTCTCTGCATTTCCATAACATGACTTTACCACAAACTTGACCAAACTATAGACATAAGAGCTTCCGTAAAATGTTGAACTTTAAAACCCTTGAGAAACTTAACTTCATGGAAAGCTTAAACTAAAACTTTATTTTCGCAGATTGTTCGGGCTGTTCAAACTATTTTAGGCTTTAAGATCTCTTTTTCTTTTTACTAAAATTTGAAGTTTTGGTAGTTTGTGACAAAGAATGTTTAATCAAATTCAAGCTCTCTGACTTTTGACAGCAAATAATTTTAGTTTTATTGTCATTTTGATGTTTGAGCACTCGGAACACAATTGACGCCGAAACAGAAACAAATTTCGAGAAGTACAGTTTTAAAAATTGTTAATCGCATTTAAACCCACACCAATCAAGAATGGGGAACGTGATGGCGTCTACCGCAGGCGTCGACAACTCCCGCGTTTCCGCCGGAATGCGTTTGCCGGAGGTGCCCCTCGCCCCCTCGGCCCAAATGCCGGCTCAGCTGGTGGAGGCGTTAGAAGCGGAGGTTCGCAGGAAGGAGTTGAGCAATCCCGGAACGGTAGAGGAGCTGCACAGTCGGTGTCGCGACATCCAGGCCAATACCTTTGAAGGGGCTAAGATCATGTTGAGCAAGGGCTTGAGCAACAACTTTCAAGTGACACACACCATCAACATGAATTCGTCGACGCCAAGTGGCTATCGTTTCGGAGCCACATATGTGGGAACTAAGCAGTACGGTCCAAATGAGGCCTTTCCGGTTCTCCTGGCTGAGATCGATCCTAAGGGTAACCTTAATGCAAATGTGATCCATCAGTTGACATCTCGGCTGCGTTGCAAGTTCGCCTCCCAGTTCCAGGACTCGAAATTGGTGGCCACCCAGCTGACTGGAGACTATCGCGGCCGAGACTACACAGTGTCTCTGACGATGGGCAATCCGGGCATTTTGAAGGGCTCCGGAGTGATTGTATGCCAGTACTTGCAAGCAGTCACCCAGAGGTTGGCCCTCGGCTCGGAGTTGGCCTACCAGTACGGACCGAATGTTCCCGGCCGCCAAGTGGCGGTGTTGTCGGCGGTGGGACGGTATGCCGTCGGTGATTCCGTGTGGTCGTGCAACTTGGGTCCCGGTGGCTTCCACCTCAGCTACTACCAGAAGGCCAGTGATCAGCTGCAGATCGGAGTCGAGGTGGAGACAAATTTGCGCCTGCAAGAGTCCACGGCCACAGTGGGCTACCAGGTGGATATCCCGAAGGCAGATCTGGTGTTTCGCGGCAGTGTCGATTCCAATTGGCACATTGCCGGCGTCCTCGAGAAACGTCTACAGCCGATGCCGTTTTCGTTGGCCATCAGCGGTCGCATGAATCATCTGGAGAACAGCTTTCGACTGGGCTGTGGTCTAATGATCGGATGAGTTGAATTGATTCAATTAAAGACTACTTATCTAACAAGATAACGATGCTATTAAACAGTAGGATTTTTTGTTCTTCTATTGCAAAAGGGGATATACTGAAGGGCACGAAAATTACAAGAATATCAAGTCAAGAAACGAAAAGATAAAGTACCAAGACTAAGCTAGTCAAAAACTGCCGAAACCTCATATGCTTTCCACAGTGTTCGGATTCGAAATTTTAAATTGAAATATATATAATCAAGTCGTATCAAATTTACTGTTGTTTTATGATTGGCGAAATTGGCGAAAAGGTTTCCAAATGTTATATTTCGAAACAAGAATGTTAAATACTAAGACTGAAGATTAAATATTTATTTTTAGTACAAACTGGTAATAAGGACTAGGGAGAGCCATTATCTAAAAAGTATATAATACAATGAAAAACATTCCAACTATTTTCCCTAGGATATTGACTGCAAAACTATTTTGCAAATAAACATGATACATCTGAATGTGTGCATGAATAAATTCATTTCCGGTTCGACCTTGCTTCCGCTTTGGCAACAAAAAAAAAAAACAAAAACATTGAAGTCCTGCAAAATGTATTGAGAGTCGAAATCAAGAACGACCTCTCTGATACTATCGAAAGGGTCCCTACTCTTGGCACGCCATCAAGGCACCAGGGAGATGGTTTTAATGGATGAATTGTAGGTCACATTACCCAAACCGCTTTATTTTTAGTGACGCCACCCCACCATCAAGGTCAAAGCAAAATGGCGTCGCTGCCCAAATACAAAGCGCCAAATGGCGTGTGCATCGCATTAGCATTCCACCCATTCCATTACGCTATGCAAAAAGTTCGAGTTTTAAGTGCAATGCGGGATTTGCCCAGCACTTGAACAAAAGTGCACAATGCTTCAACCATTTTTGATTTTGATTGCCAAACATGCACATGGATTGGACGACTATAAATTCTGTCAATCCTAACATCCGAAAAATAAATATATTTAAATACAAAATAAATAAAAATAAATATAATATATTTTAATTTGATATGTATATATATATACAAAAATAAAAGGATCTTAATTATTTTGTATTTATATTAACCGACTCTTTAACGAAATCATTAAAGCTTAAACGGATAATCAGAACTTAAAACAAAGTGTCTAACGTAAAGTTTGTTGAATTTATTAAGTTTATTTTGAATTAAAAACTAAGTTTAATTTGTTTATATGAACAACCCAGCTGTAGAACTACTCATTTTTTATTTCATATTCATTTCATTTGAGATGAATAATCTATTAATCTATTTAAAAATACCTTTTCAAAAGTGTAAAGGTCGAAATAATTTGCCCGCTTTGTCGACAATTGCGTTTGATATTTAACTAAAAGCAAAAGGATATACAAAATTAAATGCGCAGATTTTGACACGACAGATATGCTACATGCTCTCACTTTGAGGTTAATTAAAGTTATTCGTTATGTTTCGAAATACGTCGGCGAGGCTGAAGTTCATTGGGGTGTTAAAGCTGTCTAAGATTACCTTTCAACCACAAACCATACCTTACAAAATGACAGAATGTGTGTAGTGGAATTGAATGGAAGTGAAATCGAGATGGGGAAAAGTGTCTGCGATGGGAGTTTAGCACCATGTATACTTTCCATCCCCCGATATATATTTGCTTGCCTTTTGCGTGTCCTCCATCAGCCAGCCTTGAGCTGTCTAATCTCTATTCTGTGTATCCTTGGCATCATCAATTAAGATGTGCACAGCCAGGAAAACAAATTCACCCTCATATAGGCACCTCTTTGGGGGCGTTTTGTTTCCTTAACCTATTTGAGGTCCAATTGCATAAACAGATAATAAACACTTAGTTGGAAAACATTAGCATATTAATAATAATGCAGGTATTCTCATTTATAACGTTGTCCTTGATTACAAAGAGTTCTTATGACCGATTATTGTTATACAAATAATTGTAAGAACACTTTTCATAAGAAAGACTTAAAACGAGAAAGGAAGCAAACTTAGACAAGCCGCTATTGCAAAAATTAAATATTCTTGATTTATATACGTATATGTTTGAAAATATTGAAGCTATGCGGATTTTCAGCTCAATTATTCGATCGTTTCTATGGCAAATAAAATAATCAAATTATTATCATGTCCAAAAGAATTTAAAAAAAAATTAAAAAAAGATAATATTTTGTTATTTTTTTTTAATACTCCTATTGATGCTTATCAAGAATATATATACTTAATAGGGTCTTCACTGCGTTGCAAACTTCTGCTGTATTGATTAAATTATATTAAGCTTTTCTTATTCACTTTATTCTATTGATTATTCATCGCTGCTTCAGTATTATTGATCCTATTATTTAGATAATTACAAGATTTCTGCCATTTGATTAATTGCATTCAATGATAAGTCAATAAATCGCAAAAGCAATAAGCGTAAGGTAAACAAATCCATTATAATTTATGAACATCTCATCTTGAAATTTATTTAAATGGGTAGAGTGGTGAAGGGGGTGTTTGTGATGGAAGTTCCATCGCCGCGACCTTCACACAGAAACAATCCCCAAATTGCAAATGGCAAACGAACAGCAGCATAAATAATAAAAACAAATGGCGGTAAAGTTGATGCCCAAAAACAGAAAAATGAGAGATATAAATTGAAAAGAGTCAGAACCAACTGAGCGCAGATGTGAAGACGTTGATAAGAGTCAAAAACAAACGAAAAAAGGCCAAAACAAAAAAAGAGCAAAATAAAATAAATAAATGCTGGTAGAGTTTGGTCTCTAGGTCTCTATTCCCACATCCTCTCTGCTTGCTGACTGAATTCAATAAACAATGAGTTCATAACAGATTTATGGTCACTAAGCTTAATTGTTCAAATTGATTTTGAGGTGCAAAATATCAAGAGAGCCTTGTGCTGATCTCCTGTTACGTGTGTCATGATATGACAAACGCTGTTGTAAATCATTGACCCCAATCAGGTGTTTTAGTATACCGGAGTGATGGGGTAGAAAAGGGATAGCTAGAATTACAAAGGTGGCGCACAAAGGTCAACTGGATCGGCTCTAATACACTTCAAAAAATAAGTAGTGTTTTTTATACCCTTGCAGAGGGTATTATAATTTCAGTCAGAAGTTTGCAACGCAGTGAAGGAGACGTTTCCGACCCTATAAAGTATATATATTCTTGATCAGCATCACTAGTAGAGTCGATCTAGCCATGTCCGTCTGTCCGTCCGTCTGTCCGTCTGTCCGTCCGTCTGTCCGTCCGTTTATATGCAAACTAGTCTCTCAGTTTTAAAGCTATCTGCATGAAACTTTCCCAAAAGCTGTCTTTCTATTGCAGGTAGTATATAAGTCGGAACGAGCCGGATCGGACGACTATAGCATATAGCTCCCATAGGAACAATCGGAAAAACAATTGAAAAAAATTATAACTTTGCTGTTTTTTAATTTTTTGTTTTGTCCTTCGACATAAAGCAATGGTTAAATATTTCAGAATTATGGTTAAAATTTCATCAAAATCGGACGACTATAGCATATAGCTCCCATAGGAACAATCGGAAAAATAATTGAAAAAAATTATAACTTTGCTGTTTTTTAATTTTTTGTTTAGTTCTTCGACATATAGCAATGGTTAAATATTTCAGAATTATGGTTTAAATTTCGTCAAAATCGGACGACTATATCATATAGCTCCCATACAAATAATAAAAATATATAAAAGAACAATCCAATAATTAAGCTGCAAATCGTCATAGCTTCAATGTTTTTAAACATATACGCAAGTAAATCATAATTTTAATGTTTTGCGATAGCTGCAAGGGTATATGAACTTCGGCTTGCCGAAGTTTGCTTTATTTCTTGTTTTTAAATATTATTATTTGAGAAACAACATTTTCCAAGAAAGAAAGCTATTAAATATATCGTCAAAGGATTTTAAAGGAATTTAAGCGATAATAACCACGGCAACCTCTTTTTTTTTTTTTAGATCTCAAAACTACAATATAAGATGGGATTTGTAATTGAACATGCTGTTTTTTCTTTTACATTTTTTGATTTTTAAGAAATGTTTGTGAGTTTAATATGTATTCACACAAAAGTTTAACGTTATTTTTATATGTGTATCCCCCATATGGTTGAAATGAAAAACCGTTTTAACGATTCATCCAGCCAAGTGCAAGCCACCAGAATGCTTTTAGCCAACCTAGCATTTCATGATGGAGGTGCACAAAACGCGAAAACTCTCACCTCGTGTATAGTTGGGATGGCCGTTGAATGGGGCTCTGAAAGTCTGGATCTCTGTTGTCTTCCTTTTTGCCCTGCCTTTTGTTGCCAATTTCTCCCAATTTCCACATCTCTCTTTGGAAAGAGCCCGTTTAATAGGGCGTGAACAACAGTTCACTCGCTCATGCGGTTCTGATTTTAGTGTTTTGTGCTTGCCTGTCTCCACATCCGTCCCTCGATTTGGCATTCAGGTCGTTTATCGCTAATATTAGTACCTGTATTTTCAACGATTTCAATTTGGTTTCCATTTAACCCCGAAAATTGAACCATGCCATTCGCTCGCCCTCAAACAACTTTTCGCTCCGCAATCGCTTTTCTGTGCAATTTGCATGTGCACTATAAATTTTAACGAATTCATTTGTTTGTGAAACGTGTCCAGACAGACTGCAAAAAAGGGGCGGTGGTTGGTGGGCGGCTTGGGGCAGCGCAAAATCATCAGGAGCAAAGAGGGGGAAACAAAGAGGAGGAATAGCGCATAGCATTTGCGGCCAACAATTGTTCTTGCCGTTGTTGACACAATTGAGCGTTGTATTTATTAGGTTTTTTTCTCTTCTCATTTTCCCATTTCTACACTTTGTTTTGTTTATTTGTCACATTTTATTTAGTTTCTCGAATTTATTTGCGCTAAAAACTGGCATGTTTGCCGCTAAAGCAGAGCAAAGAATATAAACATTTTTAGCATATGCTTGAACATATTCAAATTGTATTCTGTTTTTTTTTCGGTTTAATTTCATGTGTGACTGAGATTTTATTGTTGTCATGCGGCGGGGCATAAGATGTTTCATTATTGTCTTTGGGAATGTGCAATTGATTATTTTTAGTTTATGGGCACCGAATTCTTTTGGTCTCACACTCAAAACTACATATTTAAGGGTACATTCTTTTTACTAAGTAGATATATTTTTAAACTAGAAAATGTGGTATAATTGATGTGAGGGTTAATTTTCGTGTGTTCGTTATCTTTAAGAGGAAAGTAACTAAACTACTCCCAAAACATTCTTGAATTTTCATATCAAACGTTTCTTTGTAACTTAATTTTCCACTTTATTGGCGTGCCACGTCTCTCTGCAACCATTATAAGCACCTTAGAACTCAGTTAAACAGAAGAGAAGCACCAAGGGAAACAAAAAGGGTTGGAAGAACTCTTTTGTGGGGAAAACAATTTTCAATTTGACCTTCAGCCCCAAGTCAACCCAAACAAATAGAAAAGCGAATGTATGTGCAACACAAATAGGATTTGGTTCAACTGGTTTCTGCTTTTCATTTTGTGCAAAATTGACTAAGGACAAATTAAAGACAAAGTTTCGGACTGTAAAACGGATCTAAATAAGTCAGTGTTTTTTAAGAAACTATTGCATTTGAATTACAAAATAGGAAAATTAATCTGACCCCACCTAAGAAATCAGATATCAGACGTTTGCTGCCTCTTCCGAAATAAGTTCTTTCAATACGTTATCATTTTGTACAAAATAAAAGTTTGTTTATTTGAGTTATTAGCCGAACAGTTTGAAAAGTTTCCTCGTAAAATATTTTGGCTAAAAAACTTTTCATTTATTAAACCGAATTAAAAATAAACGGCTTATAAAATCACTCAAAAATAGAAAAAACTTATGACGACCGAGTTGTAGTTCAATTGTTAAGCATACTAAAATCGACGTACCGGAAATAATCAATTTAGTCTTATCGCAAATTAAATAAAGTGGATCAGCTCTCAATATTATTAAGTGCAATTTTTAATACTGGTACTGGTATACCTTAGCTAGAACTTGAAAAGAAAGTTTTTTTTTTATCTATAACAAAAGTTGCAATCCTAATGTAATATTACTATTCCAATTCAACAGATGAAAACTTCATCCGCAAGAAGGTAGAAAGTAGAAAAAAAAGTTTTTCTCTATGGAGCAGACAAAATGAAAAAAAAAATACAAAAACGCACCAGCAATAACAACCAAGAAGCCAAAAACTGTTGATAAAAGAAAAAAAATAAAAACAGGCACACACACTCGAACCAACCAGCGAGCATTGAAAAGTTTCAATGCATTGAAGAGAAGATAGTACGTGGCATGTTTGCCCGTTGTTGGCCTCGAAATGCAGCAAAAATAAATCAAACAAAAAGCTGAAAAAGAAGCAATAGCAACCACACAGCCAGTGGGGTAACAGCAAAAACAAGAAAGGAATAGGAAAAAAAAAAGAATTCTTTCCACGAGAGAACCTAAAGAGTGGTTTCCAAAATGTATTACAAAAAGGCAGAACGGAAAAAAAAAACAAACCAGAAAACTCGATATTGCGTGGGAAAATCTTAAAAACTAACGATCAAAACTATGACAATTTGTACAAGTTCAAGTAAAATAACTACAAACTGACACTCGAAGATGTTTATGCTATAGAAATCACAAAATCTTTTATACGCTGCCCATTGAACTAGTTTGCCTGATTAGTTTAATTTAATTTGCCGAACATTGTATTATATATTTATGTTAGTAAACATCTGCTTTGATGTGTGTGCAATGTTTTGATAAATGAGTAGAGCATAAAGAGAACTGAGAAATCATAACTATGTATTAAGTGTTCGTGAAAAAGTATGCAAATTAAGTGATTTTCTCTATTTATAGTTAGAAATCCCACAGATCTCAACCTTTTTTCAAATTGGTAGTTTTAATATTAATGGACGGCAAAAGAAAACTTGCCAAAAATTTCAATGAATATACAATTTGCGAGTAAAAGAAACCATTTGGAAAATATAATCCAATTTATGACTCTGCTAGCTCCATAATTTCCCTCTTTTCCTCCCGTTAGCATTCCACAGTTGCCATATATATTTATATACCATACACATTTATAACGTTTGCTTGCATTTCAGATATTTGTTTTCCTTGACTTGTTTTTCGATATCTCCATCTCGTTTCCACATCTTTTCGCCAGTTTTCCGTTGGGTGGGTGGAAGCGATTCGCTCTAGAAAACTAAGCTCATCGCGGGTGGCATTGACAGCATTTTTTGACTCAAGGAACACCAAAGCTTGGTGGGGTTTTCCATTGGAGAGAACCAAAGGAAGAGTATGGCGCAACGTTTTAATGTAAACAAGTAGTGACGACGACGGTGGCGCAACGCCTTTCGCGTGTGGAAGAGTCGGGTAACTGAACTTGCTGCAATTAATTTATCTGGGCTTTCGAACATTACAAAAACGTTTAGGTGACTTCTTTTTCTCTTCCAACTTTAATTTTATCGTTTATTATTCACTCAAAATTTTTACTGCTTAAATTTGTCCAATGATGTTCAACCACGCGCATAGAACAGTCCCATGCTATCGAAAAAGGTCGGTCTAACCCTTTTGAAAACTCAGAAATACCCACACCCACTCAATCCGTTTTACTCGACGTCGGCAATTAAATTACACAAAAGCTTGGTTGAGTTTAACGAAAGGAAAACGCTTTCAAAAGAGAGGCAAGGATAAAAAAAAAGGAATTTTCCGTATTTTCTGCAGTACAAATATACGTAACATAAGCCTAAGAAGCTCATGGCATTTTAATTTGCCTTGCCATAAGTGAAAAGACAAGAGTTTGCCGAAAATAAATTATGTACTGTAAAATGTCTCTTTGCGGGGTTTAATAGATTGTAAATAGGGTTCCAAACAATTGAAAGCAATTTCAATCCTTTAAAGAAAAACTCTTTAATAAGAATAACCTAATCAAAAGCAGTCAAGAAGATATTTCAAATTTTACGATTAAATAGAATAGGTTTATAAAAATTTTAAAACCAATTTGGTCTGCATTGTCAGCACATACATATGCTGGAAACGATTTCTAGATTTGGCATTAATATTTGTTCTGTTTATTAACATATTAAGATAAAGCTGTAATACCTTAGTTTCACTATATACACTCTTAATATGGTTAATAAACATATATTTTATTATGATGCGGTTAAAGAAGGGTATTTTCAGAGGTAACTGAGATCATTTCCCAGCAATTAATCCGCTTTTTGTGCCAACAGAAAAGACTCCGTCATCGTGTATAAGACTGCTGCCAGTTCTCCATCGAACCTAAAACGGCGTTTCATTGGGCGCGGGCTTAGTCATAAACAAATTATAAGTTGTGACACAGTGAGTTCCATCGCCGCCTCCTCTTTTTATTCTTCTAATTCATTGTAATTTGTATACTCTTTTAGAGTGTTCACATGTTTGTTGTGGGTTTAAAAAAAAAAAAAACATTTTGTCTATTAGTGTTAATTTAAAGGTAATGGTCATGTCGAGTTTATTTATATTTGTCTTAGTCAGTATCACCGTAAGAGTAAATAAAAATGGGCCCGACAAAGTTATTACGCTTCCTCTGTTGTTTTGTCATGGTCATTTTCATAATTTCATAGGCGCCTGTGCTGTTTCTGTTACTCCCCTTTTACCCTCTCTTTTTTTCCACTCATTTTCATTAATTTGTCATTGTAATTTTATTCGCCATTTCTTCGGATTTTTCCCTACAGTCTTGTACATAAATCAGCGTTCAGTGAGCCGCTCATAATCAGTCAATGGCCTTGCAAAATTATGCAGCCTGACCAAACCTCCTCTTTTATTTAGCTTTCCTTACTGCATTACATTTTGTTTTATTGCTGTGACAAGCAAGTTCCGTATTTCGCCTTTTGTGCTCTTTCCTCTTGGCCTTTTACATAATTGATTATCTGGCCTCTGACTAGACTTCAATTCCTGCACCTTTAACTGACTTCGTCGCTCTGATTACCATTATCATTGTCGTCATTATCAGCAATTTGGGTACAATCTCCTCCTTTTATTCTCCTCTTACCTGTTTTCAGCGCTTTCTTCAATTCGATTTGAACTTTTAGAGATTCTGCCTGCCATCAACTGTATTTGACAAAGACTGTAATTTTACTTGCTTTACAAACTATGGAAAAACAAAATGGGTAGAATAAAGAACACGAATAAGAAGTGGAACCATATCGAAGTAGAGTTAGTGGGAAAATTCAGAGCAGGGGGGTGGGCGAATTACTTTTCCAACGAACTCAACCGAGAACAACTGACAAAAACTGACAAAGTGCAGTCGGAAAAATAGTATCCCTCCCTCTGCAACTTTAACTCCAACTTATTTTTACTTTATATTAGTACCAGTCTTGTTTTTCTTAAATTATTTGCAATTTCTGTAACCAATTTTGGGCAAATGTGTCAATTTAAATTGTGAAAAATATCAGTTCATGTAGCCTGAGAATGAAAATCAAAGCACAGAAAAGATTCTCTGGAAAAAGCCGAGAATTGTGGGTTGTGGAATTGCAAGCACACACACACCGCCGCACACTCGCACACTCGACATATTAAGGCACCTGTGCCATATGACAGATGCCTTTGACTGCCTTGCGGGTGAGGCATCTGCTGGAGACAATTACGCGGGCGAAGGCGGATTGAGGGGAGCCAAGTCGATGGGAAATGGTGCCAAAGGAAGTGGATAAGCAGTTCTTGGAGCCGACATGTTGACAACCGTGCCAGAGTGTCAGGGGGAAAGGATACCATGACATTTCAAAGAATTGCCATCTCGAAGGAATCCGGAAAAAAGGGAAAAACGAATGAAGCGGAAACTGCGGTGAGCAATGTGCTGATATCGAACGGCATTAAGCTCGAAAAAGTTTATTAAGGATTTCGTAAAAAATTCCTCTTACTTGAAGTTTGTGCAATAGTTCAGAAACTTTCGTTGAAGTAATTTTTTTTTATTTTATGGAAGCAAAGGATTAAAATTTATAGTCTATTCCTTGCCTTTTCATTGTAAAATCAAACAGTAGTGTGTTTTGAACCCACAATAGTTTATTACTCATTCAACCTTTTTACCTCAATCTACAAGCTTACACAAAATATTAAACTTGTACCAGTCTCTTCATTGTTAAAAAATTGTATGTCAAGAAAACTCGTGTATATATTGTGTTAAGGTCAGGCGTAATGGTAGCATTTATAATAAAAAGTCCTTTATTATAAAACTCTATGAGGAACTGGTATAAATACAACAATTTAAAAAATAACTTATATTTTGTAAGCAGCACCGTTAGCGTGTTCGTTTTCGCCTCACATTTTAAATCTTTATTTATGTTCCTGTGTTGTTTTTGCATGTTTTGAGCCTTAAATATTCATTTTATTACCGATCATTACCTGCAGCACAATGTGTGCACCTCATATGCCATGCGAATACTTCTCTCTACCTTTTGGTTGGACTCATAAATATTTAAAGGTTTACCATATGGTGGAAAAGCGTACTTACGCTTTTCGTTATTATCGTCGTTCTATGCAAATCCTCATAATGCTATGACATTAAATTAGTCTTTTCCTTCGAATTTTCCATTCTCTCTCTGTCTCACTCACTCAGTGAAGAACTAGCAGTTCATGTCTCTTTCTAGCACCTAAATAGGTGTTAAGCTGAGCTTCATAATGACGTACATTACATATGCAAGGCGATCATTTGATTCCGCCCCTTCTCCGCCCTTTTGTGGCCTGGAGGCGAAAAATGTTTTGCTATTTGTTTTTGCTCATGTTTAATGCTCGCCTGACGACATTACAGAGAGAAAATGCGACTACAAATTTTATAAATTATAAAAAAAAATAATAGGTGAATACAAATAAGAGTATTTCCAGGTTTAAGTTTTGGTTTTTTTTAAGTTTATTTCATTTACAATGAAGAGGTTTTGATTAATCATACACATTAATAATATACACATTTTCTCTTAGTGTAGCTCAGTTCCGTCACTCACACAAACAACCGTGTCGTATCTGTGTCTTTATTTAGCGTTGAATTTGTTGCACACCCAGAGGACTCGATTTGCCATTCAAAACACCTGTGCCACGTGAAGCATTTGTTTATCCCCGCAGTCCTAGTTGTCATTGTTGTCGTTGTTATTTGTTTTGCTCCCAGCAACGCCGCTTTCAATCTGGCTGGTGGGTGGGGGATATAGCTACATCTTCACCAACTCACCATCTTTAAACACTGTCGGGCAAAAGTTGAGAGTGTTCTTTCCTCTTAAAGAAACTTGGCCAAATTAACTTATTTTTATTTACATGCAAATCACATTTTCAAACAACTAAAAACAGCAGCGACAACAACTTTTCTTCATTAAATTGTGTACAAAAATTAAGAAAATTGACAATTTCCGGCGTCCAGAACGCAAAAAGCAGTTGAAGGAAAATAATACAAATTGAAACTTGATGGCGCTCCACCTTTAAGAGGGTCCTGCAATTGTTTTGACTGCCTCGCGCCGCTTTCCCGCTTTCCCCCTCTCCATCGCTCGGTGTTCCAGTTTTCCGGCTCGACCCTCGAGGGGCGGAGGTAGGGAGTAACCTTTTGGCACGGCAACAACGCGCCGCATATTTAAATTTTAATTAAAATTTTCTCAGGGCCTGCCGCCGCACCGCCCACTTTTGGCTCTCTCTCTCTCTCGTGTTTTTCCTCCTTCCGGCGAGCTATACGCGTTGTGTTCCCATTTCGCATTCGCGCGCCTAAAAATATGCAAATAAAAAATTGCCTTTGTGCTGCGCGAGCCTCGTCAGAGGAAAAAGGAGCCAAAGGGACATAGAGCATGGGGGGTTGCGAATCCTGCTCTGATTTCTGATAACCTTTTTGTCGAGAGTTTCGTGACTTCCCCAGGGAAAAAATGGAAGCTACGAGCTTGTGGCTCTGCAACAAGCAGAAATTAATTATATCTTGCTGACGCGTCAACAGAGCTATCTAAAACTTATAATTCGATCGTTAAATCGACCTATAACAAATTGTTTTTAGAGGGTGGCCAACCACCCCATTAGATTACTGACAGGAAATCTCAGAGTTGTGCTTACTCGACTGTTTTATCATTATATATATATATATATATATATATATATCGATTACATTTTCTTTATTTCTCACAACATTCAGTCATATTTTCATTACTTATCTATCGAAGTTCATCTGTCGAACAGCAGGTATATGCATTCAAGGGCTGTTTTCAACAACTTAGGTTGACATGCTGCAACGATGTGAGGGAAATTGATATGGCAGTTGCTGCGGTCCTCGTTTTCCTACCCCGCCCTTGCCCTTTTCCGCACTGCAACTGCAAAAGAAACTTATTCCCTTTTGCAATTCGTTACGTTTCTTCTGTAACTTGTTTTTCCCACCCCCGTCACCATTTTACTCTTCCAAATCTGTTTTCGACTGGTGGAATTTTTTGGTTAACTTTAAAGGGGTGGCAGAAGGGGAGAGGAAGGGTGTTCTTCTGTCTGTCCTGGTTGTTAGTTGCAATCCACAAAACCGCCAAAACGAACGAGGCAAGGACCTAACTGGGGTAAGAGGAGAGCTTCGAGAGAAGCCTCTCAGTTCCAGCCACAATTTGCCATGTAAATATTAATGCCGGGCTAGACACGGCCACAAGAAGGGAGCGGAAGGGGGGTAGAGAGATGAGGACGGAATCGGGTTATATAGCTTCGTCTGCACTCCATTTTTCAAAGCTCGTTTGTGTCGTTAGCTGGCTGGCTGGGTTTCGGGCTGCTTTGACTCTTTCTCTGCTGTTCTGCTCCAGCTTCAGCTCCCATCCTATTTTGGTCTATGCAAATAATGAATGCAAAATGCTGTTCAAGTGTTGAAAATCAGCTAGCACAGTATACTCCCTTAAGCATTCTATTGAGACGCTATAAAAATACAGGATTAATTTTACCAATTTATCTTTCTACTCTTTTCAGGCATTAACAAAACGAAGTGGATACCGAGAAGAGCTCAGTTCGTGAACAATTTGCATAAACCCAAACTCCAAAATGGATAATTTCAACAAAATATTTAACAGTGAAAGTGAAAATGGTTGAAATATCAAAGAAAAAATAAATTAAAGTACTCGTTATCCCAAAGAATGCAATTTCTAGTGATGCCTAAAGTTGAGCACCCAGCAGGCTGCTTTAACGAAAAGTGAATATATTTTTGCATTGATGGACATTCGAGCGTTATCAAATAAAAACACAAAGGAGCAAGGCTCTCACAGAAAAGTTCATAAAGTGTTGTGTTCAAGTGAAATTAAATATCTTTTATGATAAAAAAAAGGGATTTCAGAGCACATCGATTAAGTGAAAATCCAAATAAAATATTCGAAAAGTGGTATTAAAGTAATAGTTGAAAAGAAAAACAGAATTGATAAAGTAAGAGCTAGGAGCTCACCAGTAGAATTTAATATTTAGGGTTAAGCTATGCCAAGTGGCCACTAGAGAAATATGGATAAGCGGCTCAGCGACAGTCCCGGAGATTGTCGCGTAACCAGATCCAGCATGACGCCCACCCTGCGCCTGGCTCAGAGTCCCAGGCAGGAGCCTCATTCCGCACAGCCGGACACCATCGGCCCAGCAACAACACCAGCAGCAGCAGCAGTAGCAGCCGCAACTGGCAAGTCCAAGTCCCCCACTCCGCTGCCCGGCAAATCGCAGGCGGCACAGCATCACCAGTTTCGGGCTCCGCAGCAACAGCAGGGCCCCAAGAACCGGAACAAGGCGTGGGGCAAGCGGCAGCACAAGGCCGGCGGGAAGCACAATGCCAGCGCCTGCGTCGGTGCCAGTAGCGCCCAGACACAGTCCACCGGCTCCTCCGCCCCAGCCACGCCCCTGCTGCCCACGACAGCGGCGGCGGCAGCCCACAAGGCCGATCTCGAGAATATCCAGAATATCCAGAACAAGAATCAGAATGCCGGCAGTGGCAACAACCATCACGGGAGCACCGGAACCGCCCATCACGGCGGCGGCGGCGGCGGCGGTGGAGCTCATCATGCCGGCGCGGGCGGAGGTGGACACCATCACCATCATAACACGCGTCTGGCGCAGAACGCAGCCGCTGGTGGAGCTGGCGGAGGAAGCACGATGCAGCTCTACAAGAAGATGCTGCCACACAGGTGAGTAATCTATGTAGTAATGCTGTTTGGCACGTTGCAGAGGGGTTATCAAAATCATTAAAAAAAAAAAAACACCCTCAAGTAAATTCTTTCACCAAACTCCGGAAGATTATTACATTTCCGGAAAAACATCCTGCTTTTGATAATGGTTTCAGAACCAACGAAAGCTTTAGTTAAATATATTCTCAGTTACTCAGAAATTTTTCCGGTTGATTTGGAATTATTTGAAATTTCCACCGAAGAGATTTCCCGGATAGAAACAAAATATTTAAAATGAATAACATTGATGGAATTTTGTATATCCGTTACTCGAAGGATTATTGTTTTGTCGATATTTTGTTTTAATGGTATTTAAACCTAACAGCAATTTAACTTAATGCTAAAGCTTATCAAGACATTGAGAAATCAGTCCTAAGAAATATTTGTTGGTTGGGTTGTGTAAAATTCAACGAATTCTTAAAATTTTTTGATATATAATCTTTTACTACAACGAATCCTTAAGATTTGTTGATATAATATTTCACAACATCCTTAAAACATCAGGCTATGTTTTAAAAAACGACAAAAAATATAGCTAACAATGTCTTTAGTTAAGTTTTGAGTCCTAAATACAAATCTGTTTTTTTTAACTCTTTTTCAGGGGTCACCACCCCCACGTGTTGTGCGCCGGGAACAACGCGAACCACACGTGCTGCCTGGGCACCGGCTGCAACGGCGGCTCTTCCGGTGGAGCGGGCGTGGCGGGGGGCGCAGGCGGCGCGGCAGGAGGAGCATCGTGCAAGGACGCGCAAAGCAACAAGGACACCAGTTCGCTGAGTGGCAACAGCAGCATCGCGGGCAGCGTGGGAGCGAACAATGCGGTGCACTATTGCTGCGGTCGCTCAAAGTTTTTTCTATCGGAGAAGCGGCTGCGCAAGGAGGTGATTGTGCCACCCACAAAATTTCTGCTGGGCGGCAACATCTCCGATCCGCTCAACCTCAATTCGCTGCAGAACGAGAACACGTCAAATGCCTCATCCAGCAACAATACGCCGGCTACCACGCCCCGTCAGTCGCCCATCACGACACCGCCGAAGGTGGAGGTGATCATACCGCCCAACATCCATGATCCGCTGCACCTGCTGGATCCCGTTGATTCGATGGAGTACGAGAAGCAGCTGACATCGCCGATGAAACGGGGAGGGGGCGGCGGAGGCGGCGGCGGGGGAATGCTGCACCACCGGCAGCACCATCATCGCACGCGAAAGAATCGAAAGCGTCGGCGCTTCGATTCCAACAACACTTCGCATGCGGGCGATGAAGCAGGGGGCGGCGGGGTTGGTGAACTTCCCGACGAACCGCCGCTGCCCACGGCCACCTCTTCGCTGGCGGCGTCACCGGTGGCCGCGCCGCCCGCCAACGTTGGCAGCGGCGGCGGCAGTTTGCTGCTGAGCGAATCGGCTGCACCGGCCACGGGCGAAACGGCGGAAATGGGCCACCACCAGCAGGCGCATGTGCGCTCTCCGCAGTCGGCGGCGACGTCAATGGCCACCGCAGAGATGCCCACGCCGACGCCCACCGAGGCAGTGGCTGCGACGGCGGTCGAGGAGCAAGTGGAACAAGCAGCGTCGGCGCCGGCAGCGACGTCCTCACCGCAGCGGCAGCAACATGTGGCCGCTGCCGCCGTGGACGAAGCTATTCCAACTCCTGCCGCTTCTGCTGCTGAGCCACCGGCTGATGAGATGCTGCTCAGTTGCTCGGCCACGTCGTCGGCCACACAGGCGGTGGCGTCGACGCTGGCAGAGCGGCGGGCGCAGGCCAGCCGGGATTTGCGACTGGATTTGTCGAGCACGTGCTACGGCGTCGGCGGCACGGGTCTGAGCTTCGGCGGCAGCAGCGCAGCCAGCGTGGCCAGCGGCGTCGGGGGAGGAGGCGGCGGAGGCGGTGGCAGGAAGAGAAAAATTAGCGAGAGTAACAATTCGCAAAAGAGCAAGGTGAGTACGAGTGTGGAATGTGGTGGAATCGAAACTGGTTCCAAGTGGGCAGGCAAACATGTTAGAGATAGAGAGAGAGCGAATTAACAGAGAGCGGGGTGGTTGTGGTTTGGCCACAAGTCAATCGCTGCTTTTGTTTTGATTGCTTCTGGCAGTTTCCCGTTTTCCCCATTTCGGTGTTTTGGCTTTGCCAATTTATTTTTGTGTTTACACCGGATAAGCGAGTGTATATATCTATGCATATACATATTTGGAAGTGGCCGGCCAAACCCTCAAACTTCTGATATCACTTACTTAATTTTAATATGAATTTTAATATTCATATTCATAAATATTCATATTCAGGGTAAAAAGTTGTAGGTATTTCACAGTCTTCATTCTGTTTTTACTTTGTCTTTAAAAATAAAGTTCAACTCTCCATAACTCAAATACTCTTAAAGTCCAATTTGTATGGATACCATAACCAAGAATATTTTAATTTTGGCTAGGTATGTATTTCAATGGAGGCATTAGGTAACTTAAGTTTAAATATTCTTGATTTGTCTTAACAGGTGATTAGGACTTAGTTTGGATTTAATATTTTACTATCACAAGGTATCTTTTATTCTGCCAATTCAATCGTACTTATTTTTTTTCTCTTGCTTTTTATCGGTTTGGGGTTAGAAAGTCATGGCCCATTATACGAAAGAGTCCTCAAGGCAGGAACAATCCCAGCACGATTTAATATTAATGACATTACTTCTCTCACAACCAACCGGCACTCAAACCAGTTTTGTCTACTTTCCTCCATTTTCACAGAAATTCCATCGACACGATACCATGGACAAAATCGTCAGTCCGGTGGTTCCGCAACCAGGCGCCTGGAAACGACCACCGCGCATCCTGCAGCCCAGCGGAGCCAGGAAGCCCAACTCACGCCGTTCGACGTCCTTCAGCGAATCGGAGTTGCTAAGTCCCGTCGAGGAGCTACCGCCCAAGCAGCTGCCCCTCATCGAAGGTGAGTTCGCTATCCACCGATCATTAGATCCCGACTTGATGCAGAATTCTTGATTTTACAGTGGAAATACCTCGTGATGACACGCCCGATTTGCCGGAACACGGACTGGGCAGTCCGCTGAGCACCACTTCGGCGGCCACCTCGCACACGGCTGGCGAGCAGGATTCCCTGGTCGGGGTGGACACCAGCATGACGGATGCCAGCATGGCGTCCGCCGGCACGACCTTGGCACCAGTGAGCAGCAGTCTAATGCTAGAGCCAGCGCTGATTCCGCCACTCAAAGTGATGCCCAAGTTCCGGGCCGATGGGCTGAAATACCGGTACGGAAACTTCGATCGATACGTCGACTTTCGGCAATTGAACGAGTTTCGGGATGTGCGGCTGCAGGTCTTCCAGCGCCATGTGGAACTGTTCCAGAACAAGGACATCCTGGACATTGGCTGCAATGTTGGCCACATGACCATTACCGTGGGCCGACATTTGGCGCCGAAGACCATTGTCGGCATTGACATCGATCGCGAGCTGGTTGCCCGGGCGCGGCGAAATCTATCGATCTTTGTGCGCATACCCAAGGAGGAGAAGCTGCCGGAGATCAAGGTGGAAGCAACGTTGGAGGTGAAGTCGGAGTCAACGCCTCTGGAGAAGACGGAACCAGTGGACGAAGAAGAGGCTTCTGGATCGACTCATAAGAAAACGAGACGCGGAAAGAAGCGACGAAAGATGCAACAAGCTCTCCACCACAATCATCAGCACCATCACCACCACCACCATCATCATCATCATCATCATCATCATGATGTGGAGCAGCTGCAGCAACAGCAGAAGCTGGACGCCCTGCTTGTCAAGCCGCACGAATTCTTTCCCATCTCGTTTCCGCTTACCTACGGCGGAATTCCCCATTTGCCAGCATCGAACAAATCACCCAACATGTTCGGCAACAAGAATCAGTTCCCGGCGAACGTCTTCTTCCGACACACCAACTATGTGCTCAAGGATGAGTCGTTAATGGCCAACGATTCGCAGCAATACGATCTCATACTGTGTCTCTCGGTCACCAAGTGGATCCATCTCAACTTTGGCGATAATGGCTTGAAGATGGCCTTCAAGCGGATGTTCAACCAGCTGCGTCCAGGTGGGAAGCTAATACTCGAAGCCCAAAACTGGGCCAGCTATAAGAAAAAGAAGAATCTGACGGTGAGTGTTTGAAACTTAAATCTAGAATTTGCCAAAGGTGAAGATTTTCTTAATAAACAATGTTTTTCTACCATTGCAGCCGGAGATCTACAACAACTACAAGCAGATCGAATTCTTTCCCAACAAGTTTCATGAGTATTTGCTCAGCTCGGAGGTGGGATTCAGCCACAGCTATACTCTCGGTGTGCCCCGCCACATGAACAAGGGCTTCTGCCGACCCATTCAGGTTAGTACCGACTGAAGTTGAACTCCAAATCCATAGCTAATGTTTGATTACCCCCCAATAAAGCTGTATGCGAAGGGAGATTATACACCGAATCATGTACGTTGGAGCGATGCGTATTATCCGCAGACACCGTACGAGGCATATCGCGGCATCTATGCCACCCTTCCCGCCCATCGGATGGGCGGTGGTGGGAGCAGCGCCGGCGGTAGCCACAGTGGGCATGCTCACATGCTGCATCTGAGCAGCTCCAGTCGGTCGCAGAACTACGATACGCCGCACTATGCGGGCAGCGCCTCGGGGTCGGCCAGTTGCCGGCAGACGCCGATGTACCAGCCCACATACAATCCCTTGGAGACGGACTCGTACCAGCCCAGCTACGACATGGAGTATCTCAACCACATGTATGTGTTCGCCTCGCCGCTCTACCAGACCGTCTGGTCGCCGCCGGCTTCGCATCGCAAGAGCAGCTCGCATACGCCGGTATTCGGTAGCGTACGCGAAGCGGAATTGGACGGCGATGGCAGCGGTGGCGGGGGCAGTGGCGGCGGCAGCTACCATCGGCATGTCTATCCGCCCAATGACGACACCTGTTCGCCCAATGCCAATGCCTGCAATGCGTTCAACTCGATTCGTGACGCGGACGCGGATGACTCCAACCAGCCGCCCAGTGGAAGTCGACGGCATGTGTATGCCACCAATTGCGGGGAGAGTTCGTCGTCGCCGCAGGTTAATCATCACGAGGCAGCCGGCGAGTTTGTGGACGCCCTGATGGACGATGAGCAGAAGGCGCCATCAAGTGGTGGAGGAGGGACTGGTGGCGGCGCAGCTTATTGTGATCTGTCGGATGCCTAGAATAGGGATGGTGGATTGGATGGAAAAAATGTGTCAAAAAGAAAAAAAACTAAAAAATCGAAAAAATCGAAAAAGCTTAAGAAGACCGCAAAGGGTTTTCGAAAAGAAAAAAATTCAATGTAACCGTAAACGAGACGCTTATGATTTTCTATGGTATAATGTGCGTATATATTTTTATATATTGTAATTTAATGGAATGAATATATATACAAATATATACAGATTTATATATACAATTTGAACAGAGATGCATGTGTTTAGGTATATTGTAATCTTAATAGTTAAGGCTAATCATTTTTGCTAAAAATGCTTTATAGTGAACACTTGATTTGATCCTGTTGGCAGTTCAATTGTAATCCTAGTTTTAAATCCACCATAAGCAATACAAACACAAACACTCTCACACGTATATGCATACATGCATATACAGGCACACCACACCCACCACGCCCACCAACACACACACACACACATACAACAAGCTGTAGCTTTAAATGATATACTTAAATTGTGCTATAAAAATGTTTAGGAAACGTGAAAAAAATCCCATGAAATTTAACTATTTTTGATTAACATTTTGGCAAAGCAAAAAATATTTAAATGCTGCAAGGGAATGTGAAAACAAAAATGAAATAAAGTAAACACAATGGCAAAGCAAAGAAAATACAATACATTATTATGATAAGCCGTTAGCAAAGGAGAGAGTATGCTTAACATTATTTACATTAGGTTCAAGCCAAGCCTATGGTTATAGCTAAGCAAGTGTAGCACTATATTTCAACTTTGATCAACAGCAAGAACCGATCTTAAATCTTTTCCACATTCTATGGAGAAGCGAAACCCATGAGTTATATCTTTGCTATGTTTTTGAAACATTTTAATGGAATATTTTACTTTTTTCTGAGAAAATGAAAATTAATGTAGTCGAAAGAATTAAAAAGATAACTATATATAGAAAATAAACAATATTATATTGCAAATTTTGCCAAAAATGTTTTTTACTTCTGGGAACATTTAAAACATATTGAGGGTGTTTAAATAAGCATTTAGATTTAACATCAACTCCTTATTTTACTATAACACTTTTGCTTGTCTTCCTTTACAATCATGTCCTTATTTATATAAAGATGTCTAGAAATTATAACAGATGTGTCCAACCAGTTTGTTGGTAATAATGAGGACCCTAAAATCAAGGAAGCCAAGCAACTAGTTCTGGACAAAACGAAAGGATATATTCTGGCAATATATCTACTTTTAATTTTGTTCCGGATACAGACTTTGAAATTCAACGGCTCAGTGGACAGTTTGAGCTTCGTATAACAGTTTGCCTGATCAGCTGATCGATCGACTCGCGCATTATTTTTCTGTTATGTCTGGCTATCTCGCTCGAACGTCAAGCTTTTAAGGTGAAAGCTCTCTCTCGAAATGCCAGTCACTTAAGTCAGTAGAGTAAGTTGTGCAGCGTGGAAAACGACAAATGCGCCCGGAAGGTCTAAATTTAAATTAAACAAGAAAGGAATATCTGAAAAAAAATCAATTTTGTGTGTAATTATAAAAATAAAAAAATAAATAAAGTCTATTAAACTGAGGCAGTTGAAATGCGAAGAACGCGTGCCAAGCTTCAGACACTTTCTCTCTGTCGCCCTCTCTGCGTCTCTCTTGCTTCCAGTGAGAAATCTGTGCTGATCGGTCACTTTGGCACGTTTGTCTGGCGTTTACTCAGTTTCCAATTTGACTTTTGACGGCGCTGATCGCCAGTTTCGCTCTCTCCGCAAACACAGATTTCAAGTTTGCCAAGAAGGTCTCCTTCAAAATCAATAAAAAAAAGTGCCGGGACAGAAGTGTGTGTGTGTGCTATTGATTAACATTTTACTAATTTTAAATTGATTTTCCTATGTGTACAACGTAACGTGTTCGTGTGGCGCCTCAATTGAATTGCTCTTATTGCATTAATTAACATAGTGTTAAGTCATATACGTACATCTGTAAATATATATTTAACCCACTGCCCATGCTTATGGATGCAGTTGTGTGTGAGTCACTGTACAGTTAGGAGTCGGAGCTGGAGAAGTTAACCCACAACTTCTGACATCAGATTACGAATTTAAATTGTTTTCATCGCTTTGCGCGAATCGCTATGTAAGTGCAAATAAATTTATAAACCTAAATTGCAAACTTTTACTTAAATTAATAAACTGTGTTGTATCGCCAAGTGGAAATTAGGATTGCGTAAATTTATCTCAAGAAAGCGCTTTGTTTACGGGTACGTGTGTGTTTGGGGAGAAAGTACGGGCTAGTAAACTCAGTTCATGTGACTTCTTCGATTTCAATAAACGCGATATCGAAGGTGATAAGGAATCAATAAATACAATAAACAGCTATAAACGGGGATATACAAAGAAACTTGAAATATTCAGACTTCTCGCAATGTACTGCTCTTGCCTCACTTTATGTGAGCTTTTGTAACGCCACGATCTAATTTCTCAAGCAACGAGATTTATTCTAGAACCGCCACTCAAATTTACATAAGAGTACATATATTCCAGGCGGAAAACTTGGGCGTGTATAAATTAACTTTACAGTATTTATAGGTTAAGGGTAACATTTTCAAACCACTGATTATTAAACTTGGCGAAATAGTGCACATGTCTTTTTATATATGTATGCATAAACAATTTATTTTAAATATGTAAATCTAGCATATCTTAATACATACCGAGTATATTTAAAAAGAAGGTTTAATATTTAATCTTGTAGCTTATAATAATAATAAATAAAGGTATGTTATGACGCGGATCAAAAAGTACGTTTTTAGCTAATACAAAATTATGGATTAAAACTTTACTATAATGGCGAAAAGAAGGCCTTAGTGTTCTAAATTTGAGAAAATAAGATAAATGAAAAAAGTAAGAGTAAGACTATCAATTTTGAAAGGAAAAAACATACAATATTTTTGAATTTTTGTTCTGTACTCTGCAAAGTCCCATTTAGTCAATATTTTACAAATCTTTGAGATGTCAAGAAAAAAACCACAACGGAGATATTTTAGTTAAAGGATTAAACTCTAGATACAAAAAAATGTCCACCCAATACGATATATTTTTTTTATTTTTTGCAAGGAAATGTTTGTTTTAAGCTTTTAAACAAAATGCTAAAATAATATAGATTTAACGGTATAACAAAGGCAATATGTACTGTATGTTTAATGCTAGGAGTGTAGTCTTTAGACACTTATCTTATCTGACCTTAAACTTCACAAGTGTCATTTAGGTTGTTGCTATTTACTATAATCAAACCACATGCTCTTAGAAACTGTATTTCTGCTAAATTGTGTATGATTTATTTTTTAATTACGATCGTTAAAACACTATCATAAATATTTTGAGATGTTCATACATAAATTTATTATAAAATGATAATGACCAAAATTGCTACATAAAAATAAAATCTTTTCAATTATGTTTATGTCTTATGTTTCCATGGGCATATGTGAACCTAGTATATTATTCAATCAATTATGTCGTTGACACTAAGTTATTCCTCGTGGGCCAATCTAATCGAAAGCATAATTGTATTTCGGTTTATTTAGCCAGCGCAGCTCATTGGGGTCGTTCAAATAATGAGTGCTGATTACAGCGATTGCGCCTCAGTCTAGTGGCGCTGATAAGATAGCCAACAATAGATACAATATCGGAGTTACATGCTCACTAAAAGTGCTGTTTGTGACTCATCGAGAAGGTGGGCTCACGACTCTCAACCTTTGTTGCTGGTCCGACAATAGAACTCGTACTCGATCGGCATTTTCAAAAGGTTTGTGAACCCCACAGAAAGCTTTGAAAAGCTTATTAGGCCCAACCTTCCGCTGGATAACTGGTTCTTTGGGGTTGCAAATGGAATGACCTTGTGACCAGAACTAAAGAGCTTGATTTTGCGTAAGATCTTGAGATCGTGGAAAGGTTTTTAATTGCCCGCGGGGAATTACAGAAAGCTTTGCCAGCTGTTTTGAAGTTCGCAGCTGTTGGCCAGAAAACTCCTCTCTTTCGCCCTCTCTCGTGCCAAGATAGCGAAACTGGTCGCTCTCTCGCCTTAACCGTTAACCGTTTTGAGCTTTGGCCGCCGGCGCGAAGTTTAGTTAATATTATTAACCGGAGTGACGGCAACGTTGTCGCAACGTTTCTCGCGGATCGCTGCTAGTTTGGCGGTAAAGAGAGCTTTTTGGCGGGGGCTTCAAGTGTGAGTGCGAGTGCGAGTGCGAGAGTGCGAGGTGGTGTCTTCAGACTTGTTCTTGCTTTCGCGTGGCACTTCCCTCTTTCTTTCTTTCTTTCTTGGCGAATTTAATGCGACGTCGCGCTAATTTCGGTACTGCAACTTCCGTTAGTCGGCGGCTCGAAAAGTAAACAAAACAGCTTACTTATCACACGCAAACGTGACAATTCTCTTCAACTTGAAATGCATCTGTGAGATACAATTTCAAGATACGGCCAAGATTCGAAAACCACCACATGCTGCCACCATTACGAATCATTTTACTTTGATGAAGCCACTTTTGGCACGTGAAATATGCAAGAGCAGAAAAATATCAAAATAATTTGTGCGTGTGTTCATTGGCCAGGCCATTGTGCAAAACATTTATGAGCTGGAAGCGCCAAAAGCCAAAAGCCAAAAACCAAAAACGTATAAAATATAAACAAACATACAAAACATTCAGTGCTTTTGTTGTATTTGCACAACTCGAGCCTTGTGTTTACGCAAAGATAACGAAATGCCATGATAAAAAAATTAATTAATTATTTTTCAATGTAAGGGATTTTTTGATGTGGCCGGAAGACCAAAATAAGTAACCGAAGTCCATTTTCAGTAAATGAGATAGGAACAATTTTTTGAAAATGATTGGAGCCTTCTAAATAAAAAACCGAGTTTAAAAAATATTAGAAACAAACAAAAAATGGAGTTTACACAAAAATTAAAATATTTATCAAATATTCTGGTCATTGTAATATTAAAAAATCATATATTTTGATCTTGTTAAAGAAAAACATTTCAACAAAGCCTCAAATTTAGTTAGCGTGGCTCTACTTCACACACTTTTTATAAGTACACGATGGCACATCAATTAGTCATTCCCTCCATTAATTGGTAAACACAAACGCGGTATTTATTTTTTTTCCTGGCCTAATTAGCCACCGCAGGCCGCCCAGAACCAACATCGTTTACAAATGCAGACCGCGAATGCGAATGCAAAAATGTGCTGGAGGCGACAACAACAGGGAACCAATAAAACCAAAAAGTGATTGCCAAATATAAAATAAAGCTAACTTAATTTCCCCAACAAAATAACGCACATTCAACAATGATGGCCAAGTCGGCGGATACGAGAATAAGCATCAGCAACAACGACGAGTCGCAGCAATTGCATCTGACCCCGGATGCGGCGGTGGCGGCCAACCTGCAGCATTTGCAGGTGCGACGTCATCGCCGCAGCATTTCACAGCTGATGGCCAGCATGGGTAATTTTCATCTCCAATCTCCAGATAGAGATTCATAGATAACGATAACTATACTAGAGCTTGTGCGGCGATGAGTTCTCGAGATTTTGCGTCATCGTGAGATAAGACTGAACCAGTTTTGTGGAATATAAGCAACCTTTAGAACTGGTTAGCTATTCTATTTTGATTCGCGAAAGTGAAAAGTCTCTAAAGAGAAGAATTTGTATGAGCTGCTCAGGCAGGGGAGTGTTTGAATCGAGGGTGCAGTCCAAGGCAAAACCAAATAATTGAGACAACAAAGAACTGATAACGTTTTAAATTGGCCTTATAATAAATTAACAAAACATTAACCATTTCCTTTGGCTTATATAAGCCACCACCAACCAAACTCAACCAAGTGCCCCTCCAGTTGCGTGTTAGGCGGAGCCCCAGCCTAACGGTGCCATTAGTAAATGAATCATAACCGATTTTAAAATGCATGACACGCCAAAAGTAACGATACTTATCCATAATGTTAAAAATATATATGGAGTCTGATTTACATTTGCACTCACACTCGAGTATTGCAACAGGAAGTTTCGATTTCTTCGGCATTGTGTGTAGGTCAATATGGAATGATCGTTCGTTGGGTTTAAAGACCTTTTCAGGGGGACTGTTTTTTTTGCATTTATTACACCCCAATTACAAAACCCGCTAAACAAAAGCGTTTCAAAAAAATTGTCCTCGGGTTTTAAACTTTCTGTAAAGGCATATGAGATAGCATGCAGTCAACGAAATATTCCAAACGTTCCCGGGAAAGAGTAATTGTTTCTACTTTTAAATTGAGTTATTGGGCTAACTCTTGATACTTGGGTTACTAATAAAGTAGTTCTTCCCCCTGAATGAGTTTAAAAATTCACACAAAAGATGCTAATTTTTTAAATGGAAGTATTAAGTTTACAAATTTTTACATTTTTTGTTTGGCGTCGATAAAGAATTACGAAATTTCCATTTGGACCCCTTATCTCTTTTTTTACAATCGCTTCCCTCAAAAACCTCGAAATTCTTTTGGTTGGTATTTGGCTAAGTGTTTTTTTTTTCAAGATAAAAATGTATTTATGTGTTTACCGCTAAATCGTTTTATTACTTATACATCTTATCTTATTGGTAAATAAAAATGTGTCGGCTTTTTATCAACCAATTTTTGAATTCTCAACTAAACGTATGTGTTAATAAATTCCGCAAAAAAATGTGCTATGAAAGTGAAAAGGTGTGAAGAACGCAAAGTGTTTTATTGAATAGGCTGTTAACCTTTATTAGACCCTCATTAAGTTCACATAATCGAGGTCGATGACATAAGAAGTGGTCCAATTTAAATGCTAATGCAACCCCTAATTAGTTTATCGAACCGGCTACTAAATATAAAAACGTTTATCAGCTTGAAGGTGTTTCAAATTCCACTTTCTATCGCAAATCTTAGAAATGTCAAGCTATACAAAGAACACCTATTTCTAGCACTCGGTTCAAGAAGTTTTTGTTTGGTAATTTTAAACTGATAACAAAGAGAGCTCGACGATAAGGAACATATACAAAGCCAAGAACTCATTCTGTTCGCTACCTCTAAGTAAACGAATTTATACTTCCAAGAATGTATGGCTTGCTAGACCAACCTGCAAAAAAAAGGTTTGTTTTGTGGCAGTTTTTCATCCATAAAGATAGGGTAATGTTGTAATCCTTTTGCTGTCAAACTTCATGCAATTCAGTATTAATTTGATCCTTTGAGAATATCATATTTTGACTTACTGCCCTATTATACAATAAAAACGTTGATATGGTCGGGAATATGTAAGTTTAAATTTATGTATCCAAGCAATACATAGAATATAAAATATAAAAAAAAACACAAATTAATAAATTGACAAGCACTTTGTTTATTATAAATATTTGTCTACCGATTGTGGCTTGGCATCCAGCAGACATGGGACATCCCTGTGTAAGGCACACCTGTTACTGACTGCTAATCAAAGTACTCGACTAAATACTGATTTATGTAGTTTATTACTGTCGACGATAGTGGGTCGCACTATTCTCTGTGCTCTTTTGTGAAGCAATGCCACATCCATAAACCCACTTAACCATCGGTGTATGGTTCTACCTACTGTGCAGTATAACCCTAATCTATCAGTTGCGCCGTTTTATTTGAGCTCGCTATCTAAATGTCATTCAGTTAGAAGCGTTATCCCGAACTAAAAAATATGGCTGAGGTACAAATATGAGTGAGGCAAAACCAGGGGCAAAATATATGTTTGAGTTTTATCTCGAACTAGGCATAACACTCTTTTAGATCCTCCTGTCATTTTTTTTATCAGTCAGCAGACGATTCACGTGCACTTAACGAAAGAGAACCATATATTTACGGATAAAATTATGGTGTTGTGTTTATTTAGCTCGAAATAGCCCCAAGGTTCGCGGAGGGTTCCTATGCCAAGTTCAACCGAGGTGTACACTGAAAATTAACTTAAACTTAACTACAACACATGTCGTAAACTGGCCTTGAGTGAGCTTCTGTTTCGAATGGAGATAACATGGGCTAATTGTTACGATTAAATTGTTCCGACTTACAGAGGTTAAGGAAAGCCAAAAATACTTCGGCTGGAAATACAAAATTCCCCATCCACTCAACGAAGTTATCTGTCGGCGTGTGGTTGAATAACAAAACAATAGTTGCTTACTTGTAACTTGTGGTAGCCCACACTTAAAACGTAATTTCTGCTAATTGAAAAAAATGGTTGAACTTCGAAAGTCAAGAAAATATTGATAAACCTATCAAGATAGAAAACTTTTTCTTGGGTAATGTTTGTTGATTATTTTAGTGTTAGATTACGATTATTTTAAATTTAAGTCACCATATTTTCCTGGATCTATAAAGGGTCTTGAAAACAATTTTTTTGTTTTGTAAGTTTGTAAAAAACTATGCAAGTTTTTAAAATATTTGCAAAAGAATTGAAATAAATGAAATTAATAGAAAAGGCGTTCGTTTCATTTTTTTTACTGGGCATTTTTTAAAGTTACCTAGGCAGTTATATTAAAGTATACCCTAGTACTGATACCTATTACTATATGGGCTTGTTTTTAAAAAGTCGTTTTAACGATTTAAAGTGCCACTTATTTTGCAACAGGGCAAAGAGCAGTGGATATTTTATAGTTCAAGCACTTGTCTTAGGCTTATGTTCCTACTTAATATATAAATGCAATATGTTAAATAAATGTGTACTCGTACTCTTATTTACATAAGCAATAGTTCTGACTTTGTTTAAATTTGCTGTCTTTTTGATATCTAACCATTGTTTATGTCACCTTGCAGTTGAATACCCCACGGACGATGTGTACCGACCCACGCACTACGGCGGTTACGTGAACAGAGGCTACGATGATATAGATAGTTCCTACCACTTTGCCCAATTCGAACGGATGGCAGGGGTTCATGGCGGGGGAGCAGTACTCCCACCCTACGCAACTACGAACTCGGAAATGGAGCACGGCAGTGGGGAAGCGGATGCCTCGGCGGAGGACTCCAACAACGAGGGCGAAGAGGAGTTCCGCGATTGCACGGACGACGCGGTGGACGAGCATCGAAACCGCTGCCTGCCCGAGTTTCAGTTCTCGCTGGTCGAATCGGAATACGACGAGACTTTGGGATTCCCCGATTCGGTGACCATCCTGTCCGACGTAGGTGACAAGCCGGTGCTGGTGGAACGTAAGGAGACGGACGATGACGAGGAGGAGTTCGACGACGAGGAGAACAACAGTGTGGTGCTGCGCCACGAGATTCCATTCACCAGCATCTACGGCCCGAGCGTCAAGTTCAACTCGTTCCAGCGCAAGGTCTTCATTCCGGGTCGTGAGATTCATGTCCGCATCGTCGATACGGAGCGTAGCGTCACAACACATCTGCTGAATCCCAACTTGTGAGTAAAAGGGATTTTTATCCAGAGTGGAAATTGGAGGCACCAGTGAGGGAAATGTTTTTTTTTTTTATTAAGAAGCTATAATTCACAAATAGTTCTAGCTGTGTATTGGTTTCGATTGCTGATAATCTAGATTGACTAAGCCATCTCTCAGATTTACCTTTTATCTAAGTCGACACTTGATCTCGAGTTGACTTAACTTTTCACATCCTAACGATGTTTAAAAACGTACCTTTGCAGCATTATAAAAACCTTATAGTTTTGATTTTATTACAGTAGTATGATTTAGTTTCTGAGTGCTACAATTGCCAATAAATTCGCAATTTCAATAAACTTATTGTTTATTCCATTCTCACGCGTTTTATTCCTCTTGCAGGTACACCATCGAACTGACCCACGGTCCCTTCAAGTGGACGATCAAGCGACGCTATAAGCACTTCAACTCGTTGCACCAGCAACTCAGCTTTTTCCGCACCTCGCTCAACATTCCCTTCCCCAGTCGCAGTCACAAAGAGAAGCGTACGACGCTGAAGGCTACTGCCAGTCAGATGGCCGATGAGTCCACCCTCAAGGACCTGCCTGCCCACACCAAGGTCAAGCAGACCAGCACTCCCATGGGTGGTGAAGGCCAGAGCAACAAAAACACCATCAGCAATGGTCACAATGCAATGGCTATCGTTAGTCCCAGTCACAGTTCGATTCTGGCGGGATTCACACCCAAACGCATTCAGAAAAAGCGTAAAAAGAAGAAAAAGAGGAAGCTACCGCGATTCCCCAACCGTCCTGAGAGTCTGGTCACCGTGGAGAATCTTACCGTCAGGATCAAGCAGCTGGAGGATTACCTATATAACCTGCTAAACATCAGTCTTTACCGATCTCACCATGAAACGGTAAGATATTGATTTAAAGTGGGAAATATTTAGGGTTTGATTTACTTGAAATTGGGTTATGTAGTTGACTGTACCTGGTGGTATTTTTGAATGTACTTACAACTTTCCACCCAAGAGATTTCTCTGTCATTCTCGTCATAAAAAAGGGGATTGCGAAAGACGAGATACCGGCCCAAAATTTTCTGGGAATGTCAATCATTGTCATACAAATGTCTATTTTGTTTTAAATAAGTAGGCTAAAATTCCGATTGAGGTTTGACTGATTGCTGATATGACAAAATAAGATAAGAATGATTGCCAACAAAAATAAATTGCTAAAGAAATGTGAGGGTGTGGGGAAATAAATTTGTTACAAATTTCTTAGCAATTTGTTATAAATTGGTTATAAATATGTTATAAATTTGTTATAATGCCTTGAGCCTTGTCTCTAATTCAAAATAGGGGGTTTAGTGTGGTAAAGATTTTTCGTCAAAAAAGATCAATTGTAAAGTCAAAGAAAAATTGTTTTGTTTGGAAGAAAAATTACTACTTTAGGGATGATTAATTAAAATAAAATATGTCATAGAAGGATTTTTGTTTTAAAATTAAGATCATGTTTTTAGCTTAGATATACATATATATTTTGCCAAAATTTTTCTTTCTATTATAAGTTTTGAAAGTCTGCTTCCTTTTCATAAGTACAAAAATGTTTGCAGATATTAAAAATTTGTATCTTTGTAAAACTGGGCTATATGCTTGTAAGAACTTGACTAAATTCTAAATTATTAATTACAGCTGAACTTTGCTGAGGTATCGAATGTGTCTTTTGTGCCTGGTCTGGGCATCAAGGGCAAGGAAGGCGTGATCCTAAAGCGAACAGGCTCAACGAGACCCGGCCAAGCTGGATGCAACTTTTTTGGCTGCTTTCAGAGGAACTGCTGTGTGCGCTGCAACTACTTTTGCTCCGACGTGGTCTGCGGCACGTGGCGCAGCCGTTGGTTCTTCGTGAAGGAGACATGTTTCGGCTACATCCGTCCGACGGACGGCAGCATCCGAGCGGTGATCCTGTTCGATCAGGGCTTTGACGTCTCCACTGGCATTTACCAAACCGGCATGCGCAAAGGTCTGCAGGTGCTGACGAACAACCGGCACATTGTGCTCAAGTGCTGGACACGGCGCAAGTGCAAGGAGTGGATGCAGTACCTCAAGAACACGGCCAACTCGTATGCCCGCGACTTCACACTGCCCAATCCGCACATGTCCTTTGCCCCGATGCGCGCCAATACGAACGCCACGTGGTATGTGGATGGCGCCCAGTATATGTCCGCCGTGGCCGACGGCTTGGAGGCCGCCCTCGAGGAGATCTACATCGCCGACTGGTGGCTCAGCCCCGAGATCTACATGAAGCGACCCGCACTCGACGGCGACTACTGGCGCCTGGACAAGATACTGCTGCGCAAGGCCGAACAGGGAGTGCGCGTCTTCGTGTTGCTCTACAAGGAGGTCGAAATGGCATTGGGCATCAACAGCTACTACAGCAAGTCCACGCTGGCCAAGCACGAGAACATCAAGGTGGGTGGGACATATACATAGTTCCCTTAACTTTGGAAGTTAGAAGTTGGGACGGGAATTTTTAAAAAAATAAGTCACATTTCTTATTTGAGAATATCTATATTCTTTTTTAATATCATTCTAAAAAACCCAATTAATGGTAAAGTTCTTCGATTTTAAATTTAAAGCATTCATGTTATAATTCTAAAAAACAAAAAAAATATATATTCTATATTTTTTTTTACCCTCCTAAGAAGTATGACCGAACCATCAGTAATAAAAAAAAAGTATAAAGTAAATGAAACTTGCTCACATATCATTTAAAAGTATATGACGTCTGACTTCAGAAATAGGCCGGTGCATTATTGTTTTAGCATTTTAGGATCTGACCTGTGGATTTTAACTTTAAACGCAGAGGTTACCCTTAATCCAATACCAAATTTAATTTTTGAGACGACCACACAGAGTCATTCATTTGTAAGTCATATATTTTATTTTTAAAGGTAACAATTTTGCTTAATTTGAGACAGTTTGAAGTATTTTATAGTTTTTAATTTTTTTTTTCTTTAGACAGTTTTTTGAATTACAAGATTAAATGTTGTTGTTACAGGTCATGCGACATCCGGACCATGCTAGAGGCGGTATTTTGCTGTGGGCTCATCACGAAAAGATCGTTGTCATCGATCAGACCTATGCCTTCATGGGGGGCATTGATTTGTGCTACGGTCGCTGGGATGATCACCACCACCGCCTCACGGATCTGGGCAGCGTGTCCACATCCTCCTTTTCTGGCAGCACGCGTCGCACGCCCAGCTTCTACTTCAGCAAGGATGACACGGACTCTGCTTTCGGCTCCCGCAAGTCCTCGCGAAATGCTCACTACGAGAAGTCGGGCCAGGAGAGGCCACCGTCACCGTCACCACCGCCGCCGCCGCCGCCGCCGGAAGAGCCGAGTACCAGCATAGAACTTAGGAGCCTGAAGCCCGGCGATCGCCTGCTAATACCATCGATGTTGGTTCCCAGTCCGGGAGAAACGCCCGGTGAATCGAGCATTGCCCTGGAAGGCATGAAGCTCAACACCCCCGAAATGGAGCGTAAGAATGTGCTCGATCGTCTGAAAAACAACGCGATGAAGGGCGCTCGTATGGGCAAGGACTTTATGCAACGGCTCACAACTACAGAGGCGGCGGAGGAGAAGGCCGACGAGGTGTTCACCGTTGAGTCCCAGGACGTCACGGACTACGAGGCTAACCAGAACATGGCTTCCGGCGGCGAGGATGGGACGCATAACGCCGCCAACAGTACGCAAATACTCAGCGAGTTCTGCGGCCAGGCCAAGTACTGGTTTGGCAAGGACTACTCCAACTTCATACTCAAGGACTGGATGAACCTCAACTCGCCGTTCGTGGATATCATCGATCGGACGACCACGCCGCGGATGCCATGGCACGACGTCGGCTTGTGTGTGGTGGGTGCTTGCGCCCGGGACGTGGCCCGCCACTTCATCCAGCGCTGGAACGCCATGAAGTTGGAGAAACTGCGTGATAACACGAGATTCCCCTACCTGATGCCAAAGAGCTACCACCAGATACGGTTGAACCCTCATCTGCAGCAGCGTCGCCAGCAGCGGGTCACTTGCCAGCTCCTGCGCAGCGTCTCCGCCTGGAGCTGTGGCTTCATCGAGGCCGATCTGGTCGAGCAGAGCATCCACGATGCCTACATCCAGACGATCACCAAGGCGCAGCATTACGTGTACATCGAGAACCAGTTTTTCATCACCATGCAGCTGGGCATGGGCGTTCCGGGGGCGCACAACAATGTGCGAAATCAGATCGGGGAGACTCTCTTCAAGCGGATAGTGCGGGCGCACAAGTGAGTTGCTAACAATTATACCTATACTCTAGTCACATTTCTAACTCTCATCTCGTCTAGGGAACGAAAGCCCTTCCGTGTTTATGTGATAATGCCACTGCTGCCGGGCTTCGAGGGCGACGTGGGTGGCAGTACTGGGATAGCAGTGAGGGCCATAACACATTGGAACTATGCATCCATTTCCAGGTGAGATTTTACCAGGAGTTCTCCTGTGGTTTTATTGAAAACTATAAATCAAAACAGTCTATAATATAATATTCTTTCACTTTTTTAGGGGGCGCACTGCAATATTGAACCGCCTTCAGGAAGCAGGTGTTGCCGATCCGCAGAACTACATTTCATTCCACAGCCTGCGTAACCACTCCTTCTTAAATAACACACCAATCACGGAGCTGATCTATGTGCACTCAAAACTGCTCATTGCCGACGATCGCGTGGTGATTTGTGGCTCGGCCAACATCAACGATCGCTCGATGATCGGCAAGCGGGACTCCGAAATTGCGGCCATCATCATGGACGAGGAGTTTGAAGATGGCCGGATGAACGGGAAAAAGTATCCAAGCGGTGTGTTTGCCGGACGTCTGCGCAAATATCTGTTTAAAGAACACTTGGGTGGGTTGTTTAGCTAATATTCTATTCCCGATTTCTATATTAATCGGTTTATCTTCTTTATGCCAGGCCTTCTAGAAGGCGAGGGCTCAGGTCGCTCTGACCTCGACATCAGCGATCCCATCTGCGACAAGTTCTGGCACGGCACTTGGCGTAGCATCTCCACGAGGAACACGGAGATCTACGACGAGGTGTTCAAGTGCATTCCCACGGACTTTGTGAAGACGTTTGCCAGCCTGCGCAAGTACCAAGAGGAGCCGCCGCTTGCCAAAACGGAGCCTGAGCTGGCCGCCAACCGAGCCAACGAAATTCAGGTAAGAGGCTAGAAATATAATTTTTTAAATTTCTTGTTAAATGTATTTATTAAACTTCATTTGCATTATCAGCTAACAGAATTTTCGTTTATCCTTTTGTATAGACTTGCTAAAGCGAACTTCCTTTGTAATATTTTGTTTTATTATTCCAAGCATAATTGTGTTTTTATTTTAAATCTAATAATAAACTTACTATTTCAGGGTTACCTGGTAAACCTGCCATTGGAGTTCCTCAACAAGGAGGTGCTCACGCCGCCCGGAACCAGTAAGGAGGGCCTAATTCCTACCTCTGTATGGACATAGTCTGCCAAAAGTCTCCAAGAGGCACCTAGATTTTAGATCCCTATGGAACCCCTCTTACCGTTTACCACCCCACCAAAAGCGCTTAAACCTAACGCTTGTCATTGCCAAGTTACAACCCTTCTATATTGTATATAAATACCCGTAGATAACTCTAGATACTACCAAACTACTTGTAGTTATGCCTTACCAATAGTTAATTTATTTTACGATGTTTGTCTATGTCCTTGTTGTTATACTTTTTTTATGATGTTTAAACAGTATTTGAGACCGATTTACACAAGTTTATTAAAGTGATATGAAGTGCAACTGAAGAAACGCGGGATATTTTTATCCACACAGGATGGGGGTGGTCTTCTAAAATGGAATTAGCTTCTTTTATATTTCAATAAATAATAATTAAATTCAAATAATTACTTTATGATCACAAATTAAATAGGAAATTCAAAAGATAACATAAATGAGTACATTCTTAATATTTTTAAAAATATCTTAAATTATTTGAACTTGAACTAAAACATATACAAGTTTTAGATGTCAAATGAGTTCTTAACTAATTCTTTGATAATGATTCTAGAAAATAAGACAAACGAATTTTCAAAACTGTGCGCAATGTGTTCACATTTATTCAAATTTATGGTCATTGCTGGACCAGAAGACCTACAAAATATTTAAATCAACAATCAAGTATCAGAAAAATGTAATAGGAGCCATAATTTTAAAACCCAACAAATTGTATAGACTCAGTTTAACAGAATAAATAAATAGCATTGTCAGACCTAGTTAGCTTTTACGGAAAAGCCTAAACTATTAAAAACCTCCAAATACTACTAGTTGGAAAACCTTTCTTTTTTAAAGTTATTTTTTCATTTGGCAATTTTAGACACAGTGTTGCAAGTCGAGCAAAGACCTACCAGGGCTGCGTAAGCAAAGTTTCGTATGAAAATCACAAGTTTTGCTGATTGAATATGGTTGTTGTCTTGGAAATTCATATTAGAATGGTAAGTGTCTGGGATATGTGCATAGTTTTTCAACGTGAAAGAATGGAAATGTAAATTTCCCCAGTAAATCAAAATTTTCTCAACAACTTTCGAAAGTTTTAGCTCTAAACATTTCCCGGAAAAAGTGTTTTCAATTTTTTGTCAATCTCTGTGAGTGCATTAAGAATTATTTTAGTTTTAGCGTCGAAAATAGTTATTTTATTGTCTTGTTTCAAAGTTATGAAATTGGCGACCATGTACTTAACCACTGCACTAAAAATGTCAAACATTTTATTTGATACTTTTTAGGAACTTTCTTTCTCCGCCTAATGGGAAACAACCATTTCTGATTGTTATGTTTGCTGAGTACATTTTATTTACGATTTCCTGGTCGCCATATTGAGTTCTTAAATTTTAATTCTCTTTGCTATTATATTGTTATTTTTACACACGTGTATTTTTCATCAGAGTTTGACTTACCAAATGCATTTAAAATTTAAGAAACTTGTTTTTTTGATTTTTTTACTGTCGGTGGAATTCTGTGACGAATCAATTTAGTTCAGGGCCCCCACGGAGATTTTGTCCAAATTGTTAAAAATATTATATTGTGTTGTATTTTAAACTACGACTATCTGTATCGCCAAAATGAAATTCTCAAAAATGTTGCTTATTTTCACCGAATGAATATATTGTTGGCGTGGATTCCTAATGCATGAGACGACTCCCAACTTGAGCAGCGATTCAAACATTTGGCAGGTGCCACTAGAGCTAAACTCAAAACTTTCTTCACCGGGAGGGCGGGCACACGTCTCAAATAAATAAAATTTTCACAATTTGTTTTGCAGATGTAAAGTTGTTAAATATGCGAAACATGTAGCTAACGATTAACACGCAAGGCCGGCACAATCTTAAGTTCAACAAAAGTATAAAATGTTTATCTGTTTGCTTTTAATAAAACATAAAGTATTTGGTTAACGAATAAATACTTGAGTACTTGTGTTCAAATTTCTAGAAGCCCTAAGAAATTCCAATCTGTAATTCATTTTTTGGGGATAGTAGATATAAAATGTGCAAATGTATAATAAATAAGATATAATTCCTAAAACAAAAAAAAATTCAATCAACTTCTTTAATTACAAACTTGTTTCATTTGACCTAATATTTGGTTATGCTTCTTTTAAGAATATGTACAAAAATTTAAAGTAAAATATTCTATTTAAAGTCATGGTTTTTTTATCAGACGATCAGATTGCAGCAATTATGGCTTATAAAATAGTTTTGTGGGTATGTCTTAGTCTCAGACCAAAGCCAATATTAGACTGCCTTTTTCCGTTTCAAAAGGATCGAAATTAGTTTTTCGATATCTATTAAAACCAGACAAGTCAATAAAATAATGGTTCTTGTTTCTAAAACGATTTATCACACTATACTACTGTGTACAGTGACTTAAACCAAACAATTGTAGAGGCTAGATCGGTATGAGTGCCCTGCAAATGCCGGCATTTCGTGGAACTTTCGCTCTCGGTTGATGGCTGATAATTGCCGGTCATTTGCATATGACCGCCCGCCTCCCCTCTCTCCACCGGGCATTGTTTATGGCGTGTGGGAGCCAAAGTTCGGGCCTCGAGTGCGTTGCAAGTGCATGTCGTGGCTACAACTCGAGATCTTTGGCAAGGGGCATATCATAATTTGTACGGTTATCACGTACTCGGACGGGGGTCATGCGTCCGGATTATCAACACGATGCGATCACCTGCGGAGCGCCGGTCCTTGGCTTGAACTTTCACATGCAATTCACATGGCGGTAATGGGCCTCGGCAGATTGGTGGATTACCTGGCAGGCGATGATCCTCCGGTGCGATTAGCTAACTGAATCAAGGTAATAGGCTTTCGCCTATGCGCCTAGCGAAAGTGAAAATTTAACCGATTTAATCTACGTTTGGTCAGGCTGGTCCATTTGAATTAATTGGTCAACAAATTGGGGGATTTATGACATTCGATGGCTTTATTTATGGCGTGCTTTACGCAACACAGAGTGAAATTTCCACCACCTTGCATAAGAAATGGGTGCAAAATTTGATTGTTATTACTATAGCTATTGGACGAATTGTAATAAAGTAGCGGAAAGCCTGCTCGAACAAAATCCAGAGCATTCCCATGGAAAACGAAAGCTATGAAGTAACTGAAGAGTCTTGCATTTAATTTCTAAAGAAACGTTGCACAATTAAAACGCTTCAAGCATCATCAAAAGCCGCAAACACACACACACACGACACCACAATAAGTGAGGGGGCGAGTGTCAGGCTGAGATCATGAGGCTTTGGCTTCTGGCCCACAGATGACCACCAACTACTCCGCGGGCAGTTACCCGAACCGAATGCACAATGACGACTTTGGAGTTGTTGGACTTTCCCAGCACGCCATATACAATGGAAATTTCTTATTTTCTGGGCAAAAAGATTTATAGGAACTGCCGGCGCAGCCACTTGAGAAGCAAACAAAAAACGAAAGTCCAAGTGCTACAATAATATAAAATCTTTCTCCAGATTTATAGGCCCATCTAGGGAAACAATTGAAAAGTACTCATGGACAATATTTTCCCTTTTTTTATTCAATTGCTGGAAGAGAGAAAAGGGGGCTGGGAAATGCCAAATGCCACCGTTCTGGTGGTAGCCCGGATAAGAGCCATCTCTCACCTCTTCTCCGGTATCGCTTAATGAAATCGCACAATATCCAAACCCCAAACCCCAACCCATACTCAAGATGGTCATTAATTTGACGGGCCTGGCAGGCCATTTGAAACGTAACCCGTAGGAAATTACTGCTCATCCGGTAATTATTGGTCTGGGGTCTGGTTGGGATCTTGATAGATCGATTGGCGGCCAGATATTCAGTGTTTTTCGGATGCAACCAGCGTCTTCACACCGCCACCGGCTCTGATAGATCTTCATTTTGGGGGGTGGGGTCCGCTTGTTCACAGGTGTGTCGATCGAATGTATCTAAATATGGAAGTCTCGAACATGAACCCATGAGAATTGCGATTTTAAATCTCGTTAAGCTTGTGGTTAAACTTTTTATCCGCCTGCAAGACTTCTCCATTTCACCAGCAGCCAAAGTAAATCATTTACCCGTGGCCTCAGGCCACCGAGGCTTCCCTTTCCTTTTCCAAAATGTAAACCTTTTTCTGGCCTTTGCCCCTCGGACATCAAAAAAAAAAAAAAAAAAGTGAAGGCAATTGTAAAAATATATATAGTTTTCAGGCCAACATTTATCAAGAAAAAAGTATACATTTTTCCCTCTGCCGCCTGCCATCTCGCATAATTTTAATGAATTTTTTAGTTTCGCTTTCTAATTAATTGCATTAGCTGCGGTGGACGCCTACACAAAACGTTTTTGATGTAAAGTGTTTTCCCTTTTTAATTTTCGCCAATTAAATGTCCGCACAGTCAAACCTTGATTACCAGCCGAATAAATAACTAAATAAAATACAAGAAAAGAAAATACATACACATAAACATAGGCAGACTGGAGAAAAAAGCGGTGACGGAAGTCGAATGGATTCTGTGAAAGGTGCAAAATTTTTATGGAGAGCCGCCAAACAAACAATGTGCGGAAAAAACGAACCTAATGAAGACGAAAGTCGTTGCGCAAATGGAATTAAATTAAAATGGCATCAAAATGAAATAATAGTGCAATTAGCCTGGAGCCCAAGCTGGCCGATTCGACCACCAACAAAGTTGGTGCCAAGAAATGCGAAAAGCAAATAATGCCAAGCAAAATACTCTTTAGTCTAGTGTTATAAGTCTAGTTAAAAGAAAATTTTGTGAAGCAAACTTAAGCAAACTACTGCACAAAATGTTTATCAAATTGTGTATTACTTGTACCGAAAATTAAATTTAAAAAGAAAATGCAAATACCACAGGCTTTTAAATATATATCAGCTGTAACGATAAAGAGCAAAAAAATGATAGATTAAAAACAAAATATAAATAAAAATATATAATAAAATATTACAAAAAAATAACACAAAAAATTGAATTAATTTAAATTTATTTAAAACGCTGCAGGTATAAAACTTATAGTTCAATGCGCTAGTCATGAAGAACAAGCTTTTTTTATAAACTGTATTTAAGTATAGATTAATTAACTTAAATTTTAGATGAACTTAGTCTAGGAATGCGTTCAAAAGTACATTTCATAAAAACATAGTAAAACATTGCCAAGTTACAAGTTAAACAGTTGTTTTCATTAATTTATATGATATTTAAAAACAAACTAAGTGAGAAAAAACAAAATAAGAAATATAAAACACAAATCAATTATGTGTAATATGTTACCAAGCCGATAGCAAAGCCAATAAACTCTTAGCCTGCCCTGAAAGTCGTGTCAAAAGTTTCGACCGTTTCTCTAATCGCGAGCGGGTCCGACTTGTTTACGATTATATTGAATAACATTTGCGTAATTAAAGGTGTGCGAAAAGAAACCGAAATTAAATCATAGGTGTACCAGCTAGCCAAGTCGCCTTTGGCGAGGAGACCCTTTTTTTCGGCGTCCAATGACACGCGCTAATTGAAAGCGCAAGTCGTCAAACGGTGGCGTATGCGTGATTTGTTGTCGTTTTAGAAAACAAGAGTTTGTTGGCTGGCTAGCAGGGGAAGGGAAGGGAGGGGGATCTATTTGATGGGGGTAGTCCTAGTCACCGCCAACATGTCATACATTGGCTTAACAATCATTGACTGTATGTCACTTGTACTTGCTGCTGTTGGCTGCTACTCACTTTCATTTATTATGCCGAAGTTTCTTTTCTGCCCTGTCTTGTTTGGCTTTAGTGGGCAAACATGGCTCACAACTTGCTAAAAGTGAAATTATTGCCTTTTCAATTAGTCACAGATCCCCCAAATACCCATCCGTTGGGCTACTGAACTCCAAACTACGAAGTTCGAACCCTTTGAAGCTGTGAAATGGAAAGCCAAAGATGCGCAGTCAGTTGGGAATGAGTTTTTATGTTTAATTTGCAGGCAATAAATCAAAAAACATGTCGACGCCTCATTTTGATTAATTGGATCCTAATCCAGCAACGTCTTTCAACCCAGACAGACTGGAGACCATTGGCCAACTCATAAGAGGCCGGCATTGTAAACTTGATGACTTTCGTTTTCAATCGCCGCCGTTAAAAACAAATTAATGCCAGTTAATAAAGTATAAGCCAACGGGGGAACCTGGCGAATTGGCAATTTGGTAGGCGTTGACATGGCAACATCCCTGTAATGTTATGTTGGCCAAAATCGAACCTTCACTTTCTGGAATTGGGCTGAACGAGCGTTGCCAGTTTTGGAAATTCAATTTCTCACACTTGTCGCTCACTCACCGATCATTATGTTGATGTTTTCATCGAATGCTCAGCCCCCCTGTCGATATTTCTGCTGAGTTTGCAAATTATTTGGTCAGCTGTGAAATAGAAATTTTGACGGCTCATCATTGGCAGATATCTCTATGCAAATCGCAAAATCAAGAGACCATTGTAATTATCATGATAAATCATTGAAATATTTCGTTGAAAAATAAAATGGGTCAATTTACTGGTTTTATGAAACATGTTTATGAACAATTTACATTTACTGTACTGAATCGAATTGAAATTTTAACGAGTATTGGATGTATCTTTACAAAAATTTTTTCTATTTTTAAATAAGGTTTTCAAGGTTGCTATATTTACAGAAACAAAATATTATATTCTTCAGCCTTGTTAAATTTTCTGTTTTGCAAGCCAAGTTTAAGAAACATAGATTTTCCAAACTTTATCTAAACAAGTTATTAATGAAAATGTTAATATCACAACTATTCAAACAAATTTAAAGTTCTGATTCCCATTGTCGAAGTTTGCTTGCAGACTAAGTTCGATCTACCAGTGGGATCTTGTTCGCAGACCCTCGTCTAGCGGTTATATAACCCAATATAACCTGGCAAATTGGTGGCGGCATCTTAAACAGATGCGATCGAAGAATGGCTTCGAATGTTTCATCATTTGTTTTGCGGATCGTTGGGTTCGCCCCGTTGCCATTTATTAAAAGTTCGTTTTTGGGTTTTGTTATTGCTTTATTTTGGCACCTTCTTGGGCGAGCTCCATTGTCCAAGGGGCGAACTGGCCAATGGAGAGAAAGTCCATGCTTGGCAGGGCCTTTGTCTTTGATACCATACCGTTGATTATGCTAAAATCATTTAAAATCGTTCATAATTCGCCGTGAAGTCGGTGTCGTAATACCGCCTCTAATGAATCATGGGAAGAAGAGAGGTTAGCGACAACTCAATGAGAAAGCCATCATTAACTCCAACCCCAACTGGTTCTGGCCGAGCTTGGGCCACCTCCAACACCCACGTGACCGGCATGCCCAAATCGGTCGGAGTCCGCGGCTCTCGCTGCGTTTTCCATTTCGATGGGCTGACCACAAGTAAATAAACCAAAAAATAAACCATGAAATGCACAGAAAAAATATGTACAGAAAAACATTAAATGGACGGACCAAAAAAAAAAAAAAGAGGGGAAAAAACGGCAAAAGACAAACGGCAAACGGCGACAACAATAACGAAAGTGAAATTCTACAAAAAGATCGTGATGGCGGAGCGGAGACCACGCTTGGGCAGCCACCGGTGCCAGCCTGGTCAGGCGTTTACGTTTACCCCCGACATTATAATGCCGACCAGGCCAAGCCCAGCCAAGAAAGCCAAACAATAACAAACCGCTATCGTCGCCGGATTTTCCAGTCGCGTCTCATGTGCGCGCAGTGAAATTTGGGTCAAGGAAATGCCAATCGACAGGTTGCACCTTCTCGCTGCAAGTGGCCACATGACCACATGACCACATGGCCAGAAGACCGTTATTAGCCGCCAACTTTTGCTGGTGTTTTGCGGGACACTAATTGCCAGACTCGCGGGGGGAATAACCCTTGTTGACCCGCTGCGTACCGAGGTAATTTACGTGAATCTGTAACATTAAAAAAATTTGTACTTTCAAGATTCAATAATTTGAATAGTATTTCTGGGGTAACGCAATGCTTATTATTTTACGAGGTAAGAAAGTAAGATTAAGTCGAGCCCTGCACGTATGTTCCGCATCCAATGCTCAATATTGATTCCAGTTTATTTAGTTCCTCATGAAATGCTGTTTCTTCCGCAAATCCACTTTAAAAGCAACATATTTATGGGGCTGCCAAAATGTTTACAAATATTCGTTTCAATTGAAGTTCAATTCGACAACTCCTTTTGCTTAACTATAGTTAATATTGCTTATATAAGCTTTCCAATGCTATCATTATTTGCTGAAATTAACCATTGAACTTAAAACGTTGAGGTTTAAATTCTGTGGTTTGAGAAAGCATTCAAATACTTCTAAAGAAGTCTAATATCAAAAAGTTGAAGACTTAAGTCAACACTAACGAGCTTACATTTATCACTTGAAGACTGAATGGCGACGTATACTTTATTTATGTGGGCCTAAACTATTTTAAGCTTAAGTTTTTTGAATTGATTAAAATTGGATTAAGATGGGGTACAAAATTAAAATTTCAGGAAATATATATTTATTCAGGTAATTTTTTTTACCAAAAGCATTTACATTATTTTAAAGGTTTTGTGTTCAATCATATATTATCAGAACAGGAAAAAGGAAATAATTAAATATATTTATTTAAAGATTTTTAGTTTAACTAGAAGAGGTCCAAGGATGGATAACTACTCAAGACAAACAACAAATAACTCCCCCATCAAGTAACATCGCTTCAATATAACTTCTTCAACATAATATGGGTTAAACAAATAAAGTAGTCATTTTATGATGTTAAGTACTTTATATCGGTTACATCGCTGCAGGCGAAAGCTGCAACGCTCTTGCTGGGGTGACATCAACGTCAACATTAACGGTGCCGCATCCCGGCAACAGCCAGTGGCACTGTTAAGAGGGGAACGCGATCGCAATCGCAATCGCTCTTAACCGCAAAGCCGCGCTGTAAACCGATTCAGTTGTGTTTGAGACGCGCACGCGTACGGACGCCGAATAAGAGAGAGAGAGAGAGAGAGCAGCGAAAGAAAGCAGGCGGCGAAAACAGGAATCGGTGGGCAAAGGCAGCAACTACAACAGCAGCAACAGCAGCAGCAGCAGCAGCTGAAGCGGCTGAAGAAGAAGCCGAGCAGACGCCGAATTAGAAATGTTTACCATTTAAGCGACGCCTAATAGAAATACTCTCACGTACTGCTCACTGGCTCTCCTCTCTCCGAACGCGAACGCTCTCCCGCGCTTTAAAGTGAAAGTTTTCCCCACAAAAGTGGCGAAGGTCCGTTATCTTGGCCGCCGTTCGGGCCAAGGCGCAATCAGACAGTCAGACACACGCGGAGCGTTCAGTCGACCGGACGCATGGTCGCTGATATAAGATATACGATACAAGATATAGATACTCGCTTCCAGATACTATATGTGGTGCAGTGTGTTAGTGTTTTGGTGCGAGCAACTGTAAATTCGCAGCTGACCAAAGAAAGTGCGGTCGTCGCAATTAAATTGAATCAAATTGAAATCGGATCGGATCGGAGCTATTAACCACAGTTACAGTTACAACTTAATTCGCGTTCGTTGCCTAAGTCATTCGTTTTTAGCAGCGCGCGCGCTCCGTTACAACACTATTTTCGCACTTACCTGCCCGACTTTTTTGGTGGCGATTTCGAAACACGAAAACGCTGCCAGACGGTCTAGGCCAAGAACTCCCCGCAAGTGTCGTCCGGCCAGCAGCAAACATGTTTAAGTGGGTTACGCCGGCCTCAACGGCGACGTTGTCCCGCTGCACAGAAACAACAATAATAACTAGAGCAACAGCAACGGCAACGAGAACAGCAACGACAACGACAACAACGAGGAGAACAACAAAACCACAACTACTTTCCATCGCTTTAACAAGTTTAATAATAATAGTCGCATCATTTGTGCCGACAACAAGTGGATTTAGATCAATTGAAACGAATGGCGGTAAGTGACAGACCATTTAGCTCATTGACTTGCCCGAATGAGTCGATGGCGATGAAAGGCCTTTCAGCAGCACATAAAGAAGAAAGTTTAGCACACAATAAAATGTAGAATTATGGCAAAGAAATTCAATTTGCCAAATTGCAAGCTCATGTCGCTGCAAATCGAATCGTGTCAGTGGCTTTTGCTGCCTCACTTTGGCTCACTTTAGCCATCCCCTCCGACCGGTGGTTTGGGCTTTCACTCAATGCCTTCTTGGCCTGACCAAGTTGACAATGCTCATGGCAAAAAATACAAAATACAAAAACAAACACGCACACACAATCTATGCCTTTGTGTCAATAAATGAATCAGAAAAACTTTGGCACAGAAAACTGCGGCTGTAGCTGGTGCTAGTGCTTCTCGAATGACTTTCCACACTCCACGCACTTGGCAATTATTTGGTTCGTTTTATGCTACATTACGGCCACAAAGCAGCCACAAAAGACCTCGAGATGTTAGGCACAGACGTCGACTTTCCTTGTGACAGTTTTTACTATTTTACGATCTTACGAGTGGTTAGTGCTGGCTTTCGGCCCGCAGCTCAGCATCCCATTGCCGTTAATTGTCGAGGTCGTTTGGCTGATTTAAAAAGTGAAACAAATTTCTAGAGTACCTGGTTATTAGTTCGCATCGGCCCCAACTTGAGCCCATTCAATTCAGATTGAGCCCAAGTGCCAGCCAACAAAAGACTTGAGGTGCAAACTCATCAGAAAGCCAGACACAATCAAAAGCGGGAAAACAAACTATTTGTGATAATCGGCCCAGTTCCATTTATTGCACCAAAAAAAAAGGTTCAAACTTCTTTGATATGTGAAATTTCACACACCGTTTTCGTTTCTCTAACATCATTAAATTGGTGAAAACATTCATAAGTATGTTGTTAAGATTTTATGGCCCCTATAGAGGAACCTTTAGAAAAACTGAAAGCTGTCTGCAATCAATACTCTTCTTCAAGTTCAAAACTCATATAAAGTGAATCTTTTATTTATGCAGCTTACCCAGCAAAAACCACCTGCAGCAACCAAGTCCTTCCATAAACACTTTAATAGAAACCTTTTCTAAAAAACAAGAGGAGTCATCGTAGTTTGCTGTACCCTTGCAAATAGTATGAGTTACGTCGAATGAATGCATTTTTATTGAGATAAACTTGTCCTTGTTTTTGTTAAGAGCATTCTAAATTTATAATTAAATAAATAATCTTTCTGTAAGAACAACAGGAAATTATTTGAATTTATAATATATGATATTAAATAACGGGGGAGTATAGTAGGAATACGGGAAACCAAATAAGTAAATAAAGTCCCACAGTAATTACGACTTCTTGGGATGCAATGGCTTTTCTTTGAGGTCTTTTCCTCTGCTTGCCTTACCCTATCCCAAAAGGTTTGGGAAAATCTAAGAAAATCATCGAAGAGAAAATCAATACTTCCGCTCGCCAGCAATCGCAGAACTGTGCTGCGTCAGTGAGGTGGAAGTCAGCAAGTGCCAATCATCGGACACATACACACCTGATCATTAGTATGAAACACGTAAAACAATTTTCAATTTCTATTCAAGCGTTGTTTGAACAGAAAGCAAACCAGGAAAGCGGTTCAGGAAAAACGCGTGCGAAATGAAAATGTCTTGGCCAGTTGCCGCAGTAGTGCAGAGCACCACATTGCACACTGCACACTGCACACGGCACACTGCACACTACACACTGCACACTGCACACTGCACTCTGCACACTACACACTACACACTACACAGACTCTGATGGAAGCGTGTGCCAGTTTGCGGCTTTCGTGTCGCTGTCAGTTGTGGCTTTTAGCCATGGCCAAGACTGCCGCTGCACTTGTCGACGCTGCCTGCAGTTGACTTTGCGGTAATTTGAGACTCGGCCTGCGGGAAGGAAGCTGACTTCGATTTCGCCTTCAAGTTGGAGATGGAGTTGGAGTTGGAGCCAAAACCCCCTGCTGTCGATGCTCGACAGCGATGTAATTTCAAGATCACGTTTTTACCGCTGCCCGATCATCGACTTGGTCAATTGTTGCTCCACATAGATCTCGGCATCTCAATCGCTCTCGGCCGACTGTTGCCTGTCGGTTGGCTACTTAAAAATCAATTCATAACTCTTTTCTGCTCGTTTGGCTAATTGTCGTACCCGTTATATACGCACATATACACTCACTCGGCTTCAGATATTCTCAGTTTATGCAAATTACAAAATTTTATAATTCCACATATTTTTCGTCTTTTCCTAACCCCCGACCGACCGTCCGCCCGCCCGCCAGCCACATGCAATTAATGTGAAAGCGACATTTGACTTTCTTCTGGGCCGACAAGAGGGCCAAAACGATTTTCCCACAACCATTTTACACTTCATAAACTTAACACAATCGCATTAAAACTGTGACAGATCATGAACATCGAGTGCCGGGTGAGCATTTCACCTGGGCTAAGTATGGGTTGCACTTCCTACCACCGAGCACCCGAGTGAAACTACAGTACAACTTCGCCAGCAAGAACAAGCTTTAAATTCTTGAATATATCTTTGCAAAAGTAACACATTTAGTCTAGTTTGAATAATTTGTTAAAGATTAATTTCAACTAAAATAAAATTAAGAAAATATAATTTAACTAAACTATATTTATATATTTAGAGAAAGAAAAAACTTCCTATAAAGCTTCTAATATTGTAATTTAGTTTGTTAGAAATTCTAAGGTTTAATTTATTTAAATAGTTGACTATGACTTTTGAAATTCCTATTAGTTTTTCTGGTTACGATCGTTATCAGCAATTGTTCCTAATTTTCCGAGTCACAATCAACCTAGGAGAGATGAGTTTGAGTTACAGATATTCGACTGTAGCGGAGCATGTGAATGGAGTTGAAACAGTAGCTACTGATTTGGTACTCACACACATTTGTTGTCCGCTGACTTATCTTTCAAGCTCATCGGCATTATTTCGAGTGCTACTGCCTTATATCGATGCCGAGCGGCTACAAATTATCGGGCTGTCAGCACCGGCTCGAAGCGAAAGAGTTGTGTTATGGGATGCGCTCGTCGAACAGGAAATAGACGGCAAACTTCGAATTGGTTTTGACATGTTTGGCGGTGAAAGTGAAATTCTCCGCACTGAGCTGGCTTCCGCTGCATGGCCCACACACACACATACACACATTCTTCGGAGCATGGAAATGAACCAAACGCATTAAAGTTTGGCCCGATCTGCGTGCATCCATAAAAACGAATTGAGATTCTGCGACTGCTTCCGCAGACATTGTATGCTCATTGCTGGTGGGTATGGGTATCGATGGTGGGCATTGAAATCGGAATCGGGGCTGTTGCCGAAAATGATGTCATTTATTGCGGCCAGGCAACTTTCACTGCTCATTCACACCGCTTCTTTTTCACAACAGCTCATCGTGTTTGATATGAATTTTCAACAAATTGGCTGGCAAAACGTTTCCCTGTTTGATTTATCTCGCCGCAAACCGTTTGTCACCTGGAAAGCGTTCAATAAGTTTCCCATTGTGCACAATTTTCACCAAATTGAATGTTTCCCTGCCAGCCATTGTCTGGCCGAACAATCGGAGACCCCGAGCATCATGACCTGGCAAAAAGTGACCACCGAAAGAATAACAATGGTAATGCAAACAATTCAAAGTGGTGCACACATGTAACAGTGGCAGCAAACGGGGGCCAAAGTTATACTAGCTATACTACCACCCAGAAAAGATTATTTTCTCTTCTATTCTCTTCTCCAATCCATTGCAAAACACTGGTGGTGTTACTAGAACCTGTTCCAGGTGAGTCGAGCTGAACCCAGATGAGCTGGACTCGTGGTTGACACCGTGTGATTACCTTTCTTATTACGGCCAGCAAAGCGAGCCAACAGCGCTGCCCACGTGAGAAGTGCCCAAGTTATGCCATCAACAAATGTGGAGTGTTACCCACAAAAGTAAAGCATAAAGCAATTTGTATTTATGGTCTTGTAGCTGCTAAACTGACCGCATTCGACTGCTTGGCTAAGCAAACAAAAGACCTGGCTTGTAAGCCCAAAGCCAAACCGCATAAAATATTACAATTCTATTAGATATTAAACATATAGTCAAGACAAAATATATTAATTGATTTTGTCAGATTAATAATTAGTTTTTAAAAATATTAAATACCATTTAGTACATGTTGTGCTCACTAAAGCTTGTTTTATTTTAATAATTTACTTTATTACCTCTCTAATTTTTTCTATAACAACTTAAATCTAAAATCATAAAAGTAAAACAATTATTAAAATTTTTTTTAAAGCGGATAATTGTTGATGATGATTGAAGTAAATAATTTTTAAATTGACACTTGCGCATCTCTGATGATGATTGTCTTAAAATCATTCTGGTTTGGCCAGTGGAAAATTACGGTTTCCATTAGAATTGCATGCGTAAAATTCGTACCTACACCTGTGGCCACGACACTAGTGCCAGTTCCAGTTTCAGTACCAGTGACTGTGTGTGCGAGCGGAGACAGACAGCCAGGCACTTGCACATTCACTGTTAGCTTTACCGGTCTTTTCGGTCGCCCGTCGCCGCAATTTTATTTGGGTCACTGTTACAATTTTACACTATGGAAACTGGTGGCCACTAGCCATTGGCCATTGGCCACTGGACACTGGGAATGGGAATTGAAATCGGAATGGGAAGACACTGGTGTGCTCACGCTCGGATGCTGATGCTGTGGCTGTGTGCCCAATTCGCAGCGGCGACACCCAAGCAGATCGGAGCAAATCGATGGAAATTGTAGACGCTCGCTGATCGGTGCGACTTTCAAATCCAATTTTATGTAATTCAAGGTGGGCTGCCCAAGCTCGGGAGTGAGTTCGCGTGCAAATCGGTTATAGTCGGTCCTAGTTATATAGCGCATGCCACAGTCCAATTCGCAGAGAGCGTAGTAGAGCATGCAGCGGGTAATGTTTATGCTGATGC